CGAGAACGACGCCCATCGGTTCCGCTTCCGCACCGACCTCGCAGAGATGCAATCATGGGTACAATACACAAGTTGATCACGAATCGATCAGCCCCGTTGCCATCACTCGCGGTTCTGCGGTAGTTAGGTTGCTGCTGAACCCCGGGTGCTCCTTGAACCCAAACGCCCATGGAGCTACATAGGGCAGTCGAGGAACCATGAAGTACCCGCCTTGGTTGGAGAGACACAAAGTGTGTACACCATAACCTTTGTGTTCTGGCAATCGGTCGCACCACCATGACGAAACGGGCGAGATTGCCAGAGGGTGCGAGTGTTTTAGCTCTTTTGCACGACGAGTGGGCGTAATGCAAGAACCTGGTGGCGTATGATCTATCCTAACTTCCCTAGCCTAGCGAGACCTTTTTCTGCGATTTATCGTAGGCTTGCCCTAAACGTTCAATGCCGGAAGAGCATAACCATATTTGCACCAGAAAGTGGCGTCACACCAAATCCATCAACTTTTGTCCCTATTTTGTTGTAAGCCCGGCTTAGTGAAGGCGGCGCTGACATTTCCACGGACCTCCAATGCGATTTCCGTCTGACCCTTCCGTGCATGGCTTCAGTTGGGTAGCAGGCCTTTCTCTCTGTACCATCTCCTTCTTGTTCGTGTACATTGTAGCGTGGAGCCATGCGGATGCGGCGGCTGCGAGAGACTTGACGGCCGGGAAAACTGCTCTAGGTAAGAATGAATCAGCAACATGTTCCCGAAGACGTAAGCGCAGGACAACGAAGCACCACATTTTCGTTGTTCCCTCGGTATGCACACCATTGGAAGGTCGTGTGCATTGTTGTTTCTTAGACTCCGGTGTTGGCCCAGGGCCGCGCACACGGTGAGGCTTTTCAAAAGTAGCGATGCCCTTGACTTTCCGGTGGCAATTTGGCTAAGGTACCGGCCCGCTATTACACAACGTCCGTTTCGGTTGAGGGTCAGTTTATTGTTTCGTCGCCACCGTCGAGGAAAGACCGGCTTTCACACGTAGGAGAGGTATGTGTGGAATCCGTCGCTGACCGGTGCGTTTCGATTTTAGGGAAAATTGGAGTTTCTTTTCCCAGCAGATGTTTCTCTTGTTGGTGAAGCCGCTGCTTCGGTATGTAGTGTGTTTGGGCTGGTTGGACGCATGCCTGCTTGTCGATGCGCTACATTGTGCAGTAGCGGCTCGCTTTGAGACAGATCTGCGAAATTCATCCATTTTTCATGCGTTTCTCACCGTCACTGGAGTCCATCGACGAGTATAGGATGAGAATCAACATCACCTTCCCATTCGCGTTCAAACCGTCCGCGTAGATGCCCCGCTGGTCTGGTGGAACTGGATAGGGTCCTTCAGGAAAATCGGATCTGTTGTCTTCGCGCTCACTTGCGCTCCGGCGGCGTTCCACAGCTACAATCCCATGAAGAACCGAACCGAGACGTGAGGAGTTGCTTGCCTCGAGAGTTGCCGTTGGTAGTGTCCCGATCTTTGGTTGCCGTAAGCATGCGAGGGATGTCGCCCCCCCTAGAACGATTGTCAAAGTTCGTTGGTCCACAAAACGTGGGTGCCGAAAAAGCCCGAATGCGAATGTTTACCTTGGAATCGAACTAAGCTGCAGCACGGTTGGTAGTTTTGCTTCTCCCGAATGTGATCGTCTTCCCCATCCGAACGTTGGGCGCTAGTTGGCATTGGAGGGTAGGTGGCGCCACCAATCCCAAGGCCATCAACAATGTACCGAATTCAAATTCAAACTCTACCGATTTCGTGGTCAGACACTCGGGTACGCACGCTGCCCCCCGAAATCCCCGACCGTCTTCCAAGTCGGCAATTTGCGACAACCGGAGAGTTGCTAACCGCACCTGGCATGCTGATTGCATGCAGCTTCCCGTTGACCCAGCTCCTTCGCCTCACGCCCGTCTGTCCCAAACGTTGCAAAACATGCCGTCCTTGTTCAATCTATCGAAAAAATAAACCAGCGAGTGGGAACGAGTAGTCACCACATCGGTGATACTAGGAGGCGGAATGTGCTACTTTACTGGGCTGTTTGGCTACCTCTCGTTTCGGGACGCCGTCGACGGAGACATTCTCAGCAACCTCTCGGGCTTCTGCGGAAGGGTGTTCAAGTTTTTGGTGGCCTTTCATCTCGTCTGTTACATTCCCGGCGAGGTGGGAAAGCAGTCAGTTGCCGCTCCCCGTACTTTTCCTTCAATGTTTTGCCTTTCGCTGTCTTTCGAGGATTTTCGCCTTCCCGAAGCCCTACAAGTAGTGCTCTCAACAAAGAACGACTCATGCATATTTTATCCCTTCGCACGCGTGAGCTCGAGTCTGTGGTTGATCCTGAGCCTTGACACCTACTACACTGTTCGATCGTGCACCGCGCCCGCTATATGCAGCGACCTCACGGCTCCTTCTTGTGCTTTGCCAAACCTCCAACAACGATTCCGGGCCGATCCTAAAGCAGGTGTTGACTCCTCCCCCACTAGTCTCCTACCCTTCACGTACCTCGTCTGCAGGTCATTGTCTTGAGGAGCAGCCTCTTTGGCCTACTTGGCATGAAACCGGATGTTGTCAGCGAAGCGTGGAGGGTGGTGTGGACTGCCGGTATTTTGGGACTCATCGTCCTGACCGTGTCGCAGTTGAAGATCACGGGAGCGGCTGATGTGAGACTATAGCCAAACCTGTTGTTGTGGATGGCAACGTTAGTAGTGCTGTGGCTGCCGCGGTAGTTGACGTCGTTGCTCCTGGCTTCGTTGTATCGTCGATGTTGCTGGAACCCGCCTTCGAGCGTAGAGCAGTTTCCAAATGCTGCATGCTCAATAGACAGACGTCGACACGGACACCGTCACCGAACCCTTCCAGTGCTTGGGGCTCAAGTAACGTCGTTCACGTCTTCATGCTCCCCGTGCCGACCTGCGGACTGATCTCTTTCTGGCTAAGGGCGACATCTTCGGAAACATTCTTGACCTCACCGGCGGAGTCGCCGCGTCCCTCACGAACTTCGTGCTCCCCGCGCTTATCTACGTTAACGCGCCGAGGGAAGGAAAGGGGCAATACCACACGGCCTGCACGTTGTTGTACTGGTTGGGGGGAGCGTTGATGGTCATCGTGCCTGTCGCTGTGTTTAAAAGCTAGAAGTGTCCGAAACCCCACGTCGCTGTTGTCTTGTATGATTCATGCGCTGGGGCACCGTATTTCGATGTTAGATACACCCCTGGTTCAAGTTTCTCCTGCCCGACCTATGAACGGTGCCTTGTGACCATGTGTCTGACCATTAACATCGTCCTAGATGTGAGAGCAAAACGGCTCGTTCCACACAACAACGCACGTATTTAGCCGTTTTTACCTGGGCGGGCTCTGTATTAGCATCAGCTGTGATCCCTTCGCTCCTTGCGAATGAAGGAATGGTGTGTGAACAGCACAGTCTGGAGAGAAACGGACGGAAGCAGTCAATAGCCCGCTTTGGGACCAATTTTGTTGACACAGGAAGGGTTACAATAGGACGGAATTCCTTGCGCACGAGCAGCCAACAATATTGCTGTTGAGCTTGTACTGCGAAGCTGTTTGTGGACTTTCGTGGGTTCTCGTGTTCACGCGTAGTATGGTGTGGTGTGGTACGGTGTGGTGGGATGTGGAGTGGTGCATTGAGTCAGCGATTGTTAACCTGGGCAACGCCGATGGTTGCTACAAGAGTATCCCGAACGCCAGTGTATATTTGAATTGATTTTCTGTTTTGAAGGGATACGTTCTCAAGGGCGGCACGATTGCTGTGGTTTCACGTTTGCGGTTGGTGTTTCGGCGTGCAACAACCATCCGGTACTGGTAGGTAACAACGATCCACAATCGCTTTCTCAATGCCTTGGCTGGCCCGCGTGGAAAAGAGCACGTGATCACCAGCAAATTATTTGGGGGGGGCTGATTGCAGTACATTTGTGCAGTTGCTGATACACCCCTAGATTTGCCGCATCGACCGGTGGCCTGGAGACTCTGTAGTATATTGAACCAGCGTGACTACCTTCCGGTCTCTTGCGTCCGTGAAACGTATTTCCGGCCGGAGTCACGACGTATGTGCGGAGGCTGGTCTTCCACAGCCGGCCCCCCCCTGCCCTTGCCGACAGGAAATCGTACCACGTATCATTCCCTTTGGTGTCCACGTACACATTGCTCAAGCGGTCCTTAGACTGCCGTCTACGTCGGTTTGCCTCCGACAAGATTTTCTAAGCGAAACTCCGCAGCAACACATGTGGAGAGGCAGGACGGTCTGGCGTAAACTGGACAACATATGATACGCCTCGCTTGCTGTTCGTGCGGTTTCCGAAGTATTCGTGCGGAACGCGCCCAAACTTACTGCGAACATGCCAAGAGTTGAAACCTTCCATAAACTGATTCCAATGAACCAACAAACCGGACTGATGCAAAAAAGAAATACGCCCCATGATACCATGGTAAGCTCAGACATGATCCCCAAGTTTTAGTCACGCGCCTAGCCGTATATTTGGTCACAACACGACATTGTACTCACGCCTGGGACAACGAGTGTATCTACAGAGCATCTGGTAGGTGAAAGTCACACATGCGTCTGGATGAAGCCGCGGCCATGGCAAGAAACCCTCTCAACGTGAATCGAACGTCTCGACGATCGATCAAAGCTCTGAGACCACAGCTCTCCCGCGCTAGTCTTATCCAGTTCAATAGCTCGTACTCCGCTCACAAAAAAATGGGCTGTTTCGAAAGTGCGCCCAAACCAACCTCAATACACAAACACGATCACCCGCAGATAGATCGTCTTCAGGCCTCTTGTCCTCGCTAATGTACGCCTCCTCGATTGTTGCTCGGGCTGAACAGGCTCGAACAAGATGAGCGGTACGTGTAAGCATACAAGCATATTATACGTGTACATCAACACGTTGTGCCGGAAAACAACAAGTTAAGAGGAAGGGAAATTTTCTCACACCAGGCACTAAATTATTCCCCGACGAAATGTTTTCAACGAAATCAACCCCTTCCTACAGCTGTCCCTTTTCGTGCGACGTCAACGTGTACGCGGGCCCAGCTCGCCCGCCACCAATGTTTGCTCGATTTGTCCCCCATTGGTGGCCTGGGTTCATCCCTGCTACCGCTGCTGTGTCCTTCCCAGCCGCTGCCGAGGCCCTGCTTGAGCGTGGTGTAACCTACGATGCCCGCGAGGGCGAGGGCCATGCCGGAGAGGCGTGCGGAGCTGGACTGCTCCCCGAACCCTACCACTCCCACCAGCAGAATGACCACAAGCTTGAAGTGGCCGAGAACCTGCGGTGGTCGGTTGACGTGAGCGGGTAAGAAGCAGCCTCACCAGAGCCCACGCACTCGGGGTTCAGCACGTGAGACACACCCAACTGCTCTCAAGCGCGACAGTTACATGAAGTTTATGTCTCACACACACCATTATGGGATACAGAGACGGATCCGTTGCATGCATGCGGCCTGGCCGATTGCATAATTTCTGGTCCAGATCCGAGTATTGGGGTGGTGGTGGTAAGGCACTGACTAAGGCGACGCCTCTCGCAGGGAGAATCGCTCAACTGTGGCCCCCACAGAGGCTACGCGATCGAAGGAGACCCACGCAAGGTCGAAGAGGGGACCCATAGCCGTGCATGCCGTAGTCGTTAGACCATTGACCTCGCATCCCTACAAAGCAGGGAAGGAGCACGCCGGGTTTTCTCCGGACCAGGCGATGTAACACATCACTAGGGGGGGGGGGGGGAGGGGGGTACCCGATATCATGTACCGCCGTAGCGATCACATCAACTATTGGCAGGTCCGGAAAGACAGACTCGACACTTTCTTCGACCAAGCAGGGGCAGGGGGATCGTGTGCTTGAAATTTTTGGCGTTGTTCGGGCTGCGCTTCAGCACCAGGAACAGCATTAGTCCCCATCGACCCCATCACCTGGTACGAGACGGGGGAAGTCCTTCCGATGACGAGGAAGGTGCTCAGGTTGACCAGGAACGCCAACAGACACGACAGGAACACCATCCCCACCCAAAACACCCCTGCTCCCGCCGTCTGTCCCGACCCTGCCGTTGTCCCGCTCCCGTTCGCAGGAGTAGAATGAAGCCAAAGCGGGGGTTCTACCGCTGAGAAGGTTCGAATCATCATCGCAACGAGCTCCCCCGTGTCGTCGAAAAACGGCGCCACCATCAGGATCAAAACCGCAGCTTGTGGGGCTTGGTGGTGAAGAAGCTGTAACGAGGAGACCTGAGACATCCGGGTGCAGCGCAAGATTCCTGACTTGATTCAGGTCCGACAAACCCAGAAAAAAAAACGGGAGAAAAGACCCAGATCCCATCCTAGGATCATCCGGTTTGTTGTGCTGCTTGCAACGTTTCATTTTGTGACGCCGTTTTCGACGTTGTCGACACCACACGTGCTTTCCAATCTTGCACTTGTGCCGAATGAGATCATATCGCAACACTGATCATGGTCAACCAAACCGAACGGTAGACGGTAGTGGCGGTTGAACAAAAAGTGGTGTCTTCGAATGATGAGCTCAAATTTCAAATTTCACGGAAGAAAGTGCTCTGTACCATATTTTCGCCTTTGGTATGCCGCACACGTGGTGTCCATGTAAAACACACGGTTCCGTGCTTGGTGTTACTAATAAAGTCACTTTGTGTCGTACGTAGGCGTGTAGTTGGCCGGTCGTTCCACGATTGTGAGAAACGGCGGAGATGGGAAAACGGAATACTCCGTGCCCGCGGAGGGTTAAACACGTCTGTCTGATTTCTCAGAAAAACGTGGTTGCACCAAACTTAGAAACTTAGTGCGTCCTGCCACACGCCATTCTCATGCGGCGCTCGCAGGGGGGGCACGAATAAGGGCACCTGCAGGTTGTCCTGGGTGCTTTTGACCAAGATCTGGTACCCGGCCGCAGCCAACAGTCCCGCCAACGCCCAAGACGCCCCCTCCGCGGAAACCTCCGTGTCGTTGGCTGTCGCCAGAGCCACCCCCCCGCAGATGGGCACGAGAGTGACCAACAGCTTGAAGGGCAAAACCACCTGTTCGACGTGCAAGGTAGCAGTGTTCGGGGTACCCGCACCGCGTCGTGTGGAGGGAACGGGGGTGAAATCAGGTGCATTATTGCTTCGGGATGGATGGGGAGAAGCGTCGGACAATGTGCAATGAGAGGTTGGCGGTCTCGTGCGTTCGGGGCTCCATGTACCATCGACTTGTTCCGGTACTCTTGCATATTTGTCAAAACTACCCCCAAACGAATTTGCGCCGACATTGTCCCTGGAATGCGTTGAGAGGGCGCAGGGTATTTCGCATCGTAGAAATCGTGCGCCGACAGTCGACGTCGCCGTCGACATTAAGGTATAATAAATCGTCTTCCCGGTACCACCGTGTTTGGTATTTGTCGATACCCGTTCTGGAAGGGGAGCACGCTAGGCATCTCTGCAAGTCTGTGCTTTAGGGTTGGTCCCCACCACAAAGGGCATGCTTTCTTGCGCCCGGAAATGACCGAAAAAAAAGAAATCTGGCGGATGTCAACAGCAGTTGGAATAAGAAATATCTTTGTCGGCCCAGTAGGGTGGTCCCTATCGTTGTGTTTTACGGAGTAAGCAGACTCTTCGAGGGTTGCCCCCGGTATGATACAGTACAGCTTGGTCAAGGGCCCATTGGTTGCTGCACGGCACTGCACCTTGAAAAGAACCAGCTGGAGTACGACGACGGCGGGTGTCGTGAGAATCTTCATGAGCTGGTAAAAGGAAACGTCGTTGTACTGGAGGCTGAGGTTGTTGAAGGCCACGAAAGCACAGAAAGCCAGCGTGATCGGCAGCACCTGGACAAAAGGGAGACGCGAATAGCAGAAATAAATTCGATTAGCACAAATTCCCAGACACAAACCTTTGTCAGATACGAAGAGAATGTGAATGGGGGAGAAAGGTACATGCTATTATAGACTGCGTCTGTACTTTTTGCGAAGCCTAACCTGGGTCTGCTTGAGGGGCTTGACTTTGTATATGTCGCAAAGACGGCACGCCCGCACTCCGACGGCTGTGGCCAAGAAGTGGATTCCCGTTAGCGACGTGGCGAAGCCCAATCCCTCCGTGTGGCGAAACAGCGCCTTGTTGGCCGCCACGATTCCCACCGCCGAGCAGAAATTGAGAGCCATGAGGCCTGGCGTTTGAAGGCATGCATAGGTTCTACCGAGGGAGGTGTTTCCCTGGAAGGAGGGTATTTGGCGGTGGGAGAGCACAAAGCAAGATTTTCAGCACGCGGGAAAATGACACGCGCTGAACTTGTAGAGAGTCGGCGCCGGAGTACAATCTCCTGGAATTTGGCGGCAACATTTAACATAAAAACGGGCTTTACAATTGTAGGAACTTGTGTAGATACCTTCCAAGAAATTTCAGCAAAAGTAGACGACAGCAGTACATGTTGTAGAAACCGTCTACAGCATGTTGTAGAGTCGATTTCCTGCGGGGAAAGGTCAGACTTCGTGTGCTGTTGCGTCGATGTCAATGTTCAGGCAGCGCGCACCTTGCGTGGGAAAAATCGTACACAAACAGCCTCTGAATTCTGGTCGTTGGCGCCCGCTCCCGATGAGGTTGATTCGCCATTGTTGTGAGCAGGCACTTCTTCGTTGACGATCGCCGACCGTGGTGGGATCTTCATTTGGTTCTAATATTACCGGGCCTGGTCCGCCGATGAAAGACAAGATTCGCAAACGTCAGACCATTTTGTCGCTTTGAATTACAGTATGTAGCAGCGTGTGTGCAACACACCCTAGGGCTTTCTTGCGACCCTAGCACTAGACTCGCAAGAGCTGTGTTCACTCAAACGACCGCTGAGAGGAATTCCTACCAAGGATCGTCAATGTAATTTACCATTGACTAATATGTGCTGCCGTCGAATGCGGAGAATTCGATCGATAGCGTGACTCCATGCATATGTGATGGCGCTAAACAGGTGTATCAAACCCTACCTGGTCCACCCCTACCAATGTTTTCTCCTACACTAACTTTTTTTGGGTACAATGTATGCTGGGAGTGCTTGCCTTCCTCTTGGTAGGGCAGGAAGGGTAACAGAAGTGTGATGGATCCACGCACGAGGCAGCGGACATGCGGAGGGATCGCATGCGCGTGAGTAAATATCGTGTGTGTGCGAAAAACAGCGAAAAAACACTACCCCCCCCTCCCCCCCTCCTCCCCTAATTATTTGTTCGCCCTCCATCGCCCCACGTTCGCTGATTTTGCGGACCCCCTTCTCTCCACAGCTTCTCTCTTTTTTTTGGTGCGGTGTGGAACAACCAAACAGACACGCTGCTGACGGCGGGCCTTGCGTTGCAACTAGGCCAAGTGACAAGAGATAGGTGGCACATCGCCGGGGCTGCCTAGCCAGAGGTTTTCCAGGGGTGCACGCGGGCGACTTTCCGCGCCGCTGGAAGGCAAAGGGTCTTCGAACCTAATTTATCCGTTCCGTTTGTGAGGGAGAGACGGGGACAAAACCATGGCTGCGCCGGTGCCTGTGCTCTTTAGCGAGGCTTTGAACGTGAGTGGCAAGAAAAAGAAAGTGTGTGCTGGTGTTGCATTGCCGTCCTCTACCGCGTTCGCCCCCGGTGGCAGTGTGATGCATTCGTTTTGTGTTGGTCTGGTTTTCGGAGGGTCGTGTGTGCGTGTGCATTTTCTTCCGCGGTCTCAATCTCTCGAAATCGCCACCCCGTCACGTCTGTGATGCGGCCGGAAAGCGAACGTTTGTGCCGAAATTGCACTCAGCTACAAGTGCTCCAGTTCCTCCTCAGAGATGCAAAACCCGTGCGCTAGGTTTGCCGTGCAGGTTCCTCTGCTAGTGTTCGCGGCGGTTGTGAGCGAGCGCACACCCCACCCTGTTTGGAAGGTTCCCTCTCCAACGTCCATTGGCGGCAGGGAAAAAAAAAAAGCCATGATTGCGGCCACAACAACCCCACGCGAGGAGGTCGATTGTTCTGTGACGACAGCAGTACCACACAGCAGTCCCGCGTCTGGTCGTGCATCTGTGGGCCCTGTGGGCACATACCTCCTAGGGCTTGGTTCTTTTCTCTGGGTTGATTTTGGGTGCGAAGCTTTCTCTCGTTCGGGCGGGGGTTTTTTGCGCAACGACTCTTCCCCTCTCTCTCTCCAAAGGTATTTTTGTTTCCATCTTTCGTTCCTCTAGACCCTGTGCTGTAAGCTCTACCAGTTTCCTCCTGCTGTGGGTATTCAATGTGATGGTTTTACACACACAAGCTCGCTCCTGTCTTCCGAGGGCGGTGCGTTGGCCGTGTGTGCCTCCCGAGCGAGTAGTACCGCAGATTGCCGCGCTTCCACATGAGAGAGGAAAATGCGGTGTCACTTCCCTAACGACCTACATACCTGCTGTCTTCACCGCAGCAGACAGAACACACACCCTTAGAATGTGGTGTGCTAACTTTTCTTTCTCTCTCGAATGTTCTGTCTTTCCTCTCGTTATGTAGCCTCTATGCGATTGCCCGCCTTCGTAATTTGAACCCGTGTTTCTTTCGCTCCCTGGGGGGGCACCCGTTGTGCACCCTTCTGTATAACAGCCGTGTTTGGTCCTGCTGAATAAGGTCTTTTTTTCACTCGCTGGTGGTTCGCTTTTGTCACGCGGAGAGATGTGTCCTGTGGTAGGTTGGGGAGTACAAGAAAGCCTTCATTTATCAGGAATACAAGTAGTGAGCCGGCTGCACACATGACTGCTGTTTACGTTTCCATTTGTGCCCGACTTACCTGGCTAGTGGCTATAGCTTTGTTCTCCGCTTCACTGACGCAACAACAGCAGTCATGTGTGCATCCGGGTTGGCAAGTAGTCTAAGAGGCGTATATGTGACAGCAGCGTATGCTGCTGTCAAGCCTGTCACAGCCGTCGGGACGCAACGTGCGATGCTCCACTTACACGTGACGGCTGCTGCGATACCCCCCCACTTCTGTATTCATATCATAAAGACACACGTGTGGGAAGGGGGTTGGCGTGACTGGCGCAGCTGACACACCACGGCAGCATTGCATCGTTGTCAATCGTCGCGCATGGACGACGTATGGGCCGTAGCAGTCTGTGGGTGGTACATCGAGCAGCGGGGTCGGCTGTGCGGACTAATACGCTACCCATTGTTCTGCTGTCTGGAGCCTAGCGTGCAACAAGCGACTAAGTAGGACCGCGAAATGATGCGGAGAATTCGAGCGCCGTGTGACATTGTTGCACACAGAGCCGCTCGCAGACTTTGCAAGAACGATTCGACGCTGTCGAGGGGGCTACACGGTTCCCTGACAGCAAAGGCTTTGAAGTGTAGGCAAACAACGCTGCTTCTATCGTTATCACTAGTCGGCATACCGTTGCTCACACGAGAGTCGAGGAAGAGAAAACAAATATGGATACAACTGCCATGACTGGAGAACAATCCTGCGACACATAAACCACACAAGATCAAGCGGAGGCCTCAAACAATTATGTGGTTCTGTATCATTGGCGCTTGCAGATCCTGTGGCCCGTTCCTGCCACTGGCCCTTTTGTTGTCATGGGTTTACAGGGTAGTGCGCAATGGGCTAATCACCGTGGCGCGTAGTTGACCAATCTCCGTTCGCGTTGCCCGAAACAACGTGTGCTTCGTTACAACATGCATATATCCCGATTGACGATACGGAATAGTTTGGAGCGTTCGTCGTATTACACGCCCATCTTTTATTTAGTGACAGAGGTGTTTGGCGTGCTGGTGTTGCTGTCCTCGATTGGAGAAATTCCCAGCGTAATGTGACCACGACATTGATTTCTATGTGCCTTTGAAGAGAGAAGGAGGAATCGGAGAAACGTCACTAACGGTTGTCCATGTGACGATGCTTGCAAAATCAGCAGCAACAGCTGATATTTTTCCTGGGAACACACGTACCGGCTGGAATCGAATTTCTACCGTAGGTACTCTCCGTTGCCGCAGGCTAGCTAAGCGCACCTTTCCCTGCCGAGGCTAAAAAACCGGTGAACCAAAGCACAAAAACCATGCTATTTGTTGTACCTTACAAGAGGGGGCTCGGATAGTGAGAGGGTCGAGGGCCTTTGTCACGCCACCCTCTTGTATTGGGGCCCACGACTGTATAAATGAAACGAATGCATGGAACACAACGACAGTCTTGTGGCGCTCCGCTGGTTTCGCACGAATGAAACCCTCGATAAACCCTCCGCTTTTTTTAGCACAACGTACGCAAGTGGTAACATGTACTTGACCCTTCATGCTTTTTGGTGCCAACTCATGCAGCTGGTGCAAACTGCCGGAGTGGCGGCGGAGTCGATCAAGTTCGGGACGTGCTCCCTCCAGAGCGACAAGTACATATGTGTCTGCCAGGGGGGAGAGCTGGTGATCGTGGACATGACCGCGGGCAATGCGGTGAAACGGTGGCCCATCTCCGCCGAGGCTGCTATCATGAACCCCACCCAGAAGATCGTGGCGCTGAGGGGTGAGAGAGACCAAGACAACAGTAGCATGTTGTTGCTGTATTTTCATCACTTTTAAGTCAGCCCTCACATGCAGCACGTCCGCCTGGTGGGAAGGAGCTCGAAGCCTTGGTATGTAGCACAGAGGAAGGGTTGGTCTCCCTACGCAATTTTTTTTTCAACTATGTTGGATAAAGTATGGAATCGGTGGAGTTTGGGGGGTTAGCCCATCTCCATCTCCGCCGAGGCTGTTGTCGTGAACCCTTGGCGCTGAGGGGTGCGAGAGCCGGACAGACTTGCGGGGTATAACTGCGTGTGGTGCTTTGCTCTCGCAGCGGCGGCACAATTTTGACGTACGCGTGCACGGCGGTTACTGCTGTTTGACACGAGCAGGAAGCTGGATCTATGTATGTATCGGTGGCCCATTCCCATTTCTGATCGAGCCGCCTTCGTTCCCTTCCCCCTCTCTGTCGAACCAAAAATAACTCGAACCCCCGTCCGGTTTTCTCTGACCAACCCTAACCCCATACAACCCAACCTTGCCCCTCTCTGTCCAACAAAGCACAACCCAAGCCTCCCTCGTTTCCGCTGTCCAACCAAACATAACGCACACCCCCTCTGTCCAACAATAAAACACACAGCCCAAGGCCAGCTCCAGATCTTCAACCTGGAGGCGAAGAGCAGGCTGAAGAGCCACACGATCTCGGAGCCGATCGTGTTCTGGAAGTGGTTCGACGCGACGACGATCGCGCTCGTGACCGCCTCGGCGGTGTTCCACTGGTCCATGGGAGGTGACTCTGGCCCGCAAAAGATCTTCAACCGCGACGCCAAGCTTGAGGGGTGCCAGGTGCGTGTTCGTGGTTCATTTTAGAGAATGTACTCATGAGTCCACAGGAAGACTACCCGTTGGAGATATAACCAATGGTTTTTAGAAAATATACAGGAGTCCAGAGGAAGACTACCCGTTCGAGATGCACAACGAATGTCGAAGAATGTGCTGTTCGTTTTGTCGAGGTGGCGTTCGGCTGACGGGGGTGAGTTGTCGCCGCTTGTAGGATAGCGGAGTAATGGGTGTGTAAATCTTTGAAGAAGCTCGCGTGTTAAACATGTCGTCGCTTGCCATGAGGACCGAGGACGTGTTTGGCACCACATTTCCCCAAAGCGGTGAGAGCCGTTGCGGCGTAGGTTAGGTCTGGGGCTTGTGCGAAATTCCTCATTTTTTGCGTTACAAACTTTCGAATGACAACAATGTCGGGGGGGTATGTGTTGTAACCCCGCTCTGTGTGTTTGTGGCTGTCTTTCTTGTTAGGATCGACCGACCTAAATCGGCTGCCCAATGAAGAATCGTCAGTCTCGGTGCGGTTGAAACCAAAATATGCTTCTACAGGCCACGATCTGGGACCCTGTGACCGAGCGTCATGGGGGAGTCCGCGTTTGTGTGTGTTTGTGTGCGTCTTTATTTTTTACTTCGACAGCGCTCAGCGGCTAACCAATGAAAATACATCAGTCTCCGAGCGGTTGCAACACACAACGCTTCTGAAGGCTACTATTATCTGGGACCCCATATAAGTGTGTGCGTTTTTGCCTTAGCGTTGACCGCGCTGACCGGCTAACCAATGAAATACGTCACTCTGAGCGCTGCTAGTAGCGGATACTTGTTTTTTTACGGATATCTTGTCGATGCTTCTTTCTTTTTTCGGCAGGTGATCGGCTACAACGTGAGTGCGGATGGGAAGTGGTGCCTCGCCGTGGGGATCTACCAGGCTTCTCCTGGAGTCATCGCCGGAACCATGCAGCTCTACAGGTACGTTGGCCGAAAACCTGCGAGGCTGTTGGGCATTTTTTTTAACGCTGGGGTTTTCTCGACAGAAAATAGTAAAAGCTCGATGGTGTGTATGACGTGAAAAATGCCGTGGAGCGACACACCCGTGTGTGTCGTGTAGATTGATCGAGTTTGGTTGTTCTAAGCGTATCTCTCTGTGTCAGGTGCTTGCCAGGCCAATCGGCATGCATGATTTACCCTTCCGTTCTTGGGAGTTGCACTCCTCTGCTCTTTGGCGTTTCCCTTCTGTTGTGTGGCGTTTGGCATTCACCCCTCTGTTCTTTCGCGTGAGTGGCCCTCTTGTGCGCCCTGCGAGCGGTGTGTCGGTCGCGTTTTTGCGGAATACCCGGACCTCTACGGTGTGCGTACCGTACAACCGTGGGATGATTGTGAGGTTGATCTGTCATTGACGGGTGTAGCGCGCTCGTCGATGTGCTCCTTCGTGGCCTCTGCTCTTCCGGCTTCCTCTCCGAGACGGGACTGGTCCTCGTATTGATAGTGTCTTGTTGTGTTGTGTAGCGGACGTCGGTGATCGTGCCACATGGACCGACCGTGCCGTTGTCTCTCGAGAGACCCACGCCAGGCGTGCGCTCAGGGCACTGCTGTGCGCACGTGTTTCACGTGTGCTTGTGTCTCCTACTCCTGGCCTGCTCCTGGCCCTGCTTGTCCAAGCTTCGTCGTCGCGTGTGCGTGTCTTGACCGTTGTTCGACGTGTGATCTCAAAACCCCGCGTCCGCTCCGCCCTCTTGGTAGAGCTAATGCTTACTGCTGCGTGTGTTTTTGTTTCCGATCTTACCGTGCTTTGTGCAACCTGCTGTTACCTTTGCCACCGCTGATGGCTGTCGTGTTTTTGCTGCCTGCTGTTGTGTGGTGCCCTTCCTCCTGCCTGTTGGCCCTCGCGGCTTTTTCTTTTTTTTTTGCGTGCCTGCGTGCATTCGTGCGCAGCGTGGACAAGCGCGTGTCGCAGATACTGAACGGGCACACGGGAACCTTCGCCAAGATCAAGGTCCCCGGCCGTGCGGAGGAGGCGCAGGTACCCCGCCCCGCCCGTCCGTCCGCTGCCACTGCTCAACTGTGTACATTCATTGTTGGCAGGATTTCTGCTCGTTACAATGGTATCCTTATGACATCCGTACCGGTGCAACTGACGAGGATACCTTTCATGGTCACAGGCCAACTTTGGTTTATCAATAGTCGATTGCTTACACACCACGTTCTAGATGCATACAGTAGTGTGGTCATGCGCCAACTTCGGTTGAACGAGTCAGTTGCTTCCATGCCGCATTGAGCCGCATGGTGTGGTCACAGGTTTTGGGTAACACCGTCCCATACCAGTTGCTTGACGGAACAGCAGTTCCAACGATAACACTGACATGGTTGTCGCACGCCACCCTTGGCTTTGTGTGAACGAACAGGTGCTCTGCTTCGAGGAGAAGAAGGTTGACTCCCCCGCCAAGCTGTACGTGATGGAGGTCGGCAGGGACAAGGACGCGCCGGGGGGCGTGTTCCGGCTGTCCCCCCAGCAGATCCCCAACGCCGCGGACGCGCCCAACGACTTTCCGGTGGCGATGCAGGTAATGCATACCGTAGGCGTGATGTACAGAGCAGGCACGTTTGTTTTGGAAATAACGCAAGAAGCGAGTTGGAGCGGGCAGGGGGGAGTCACATCGAGCCTGAAGTTCCGAAAAACATATCTGGAGGCCTTTTGGTGATGGGCGGGTGTGGGCGTTGTACATGTAAGTTGGACCGTGAACCGAGGGAATCGCCCTCGACACACGTTTGGGAGATGCAGCCGTTGTGAATTTGATCTCAGCTGGAATACCTTTTTTTGTATCCTTTCATTTGTTGCTTTGAGCACGACATCATGTTCACGATATATATCCCCAACGTCTTGTTTTTTTTTTTTTTTCGATTTGCCGATTTTCTTTTTTTTCTCTGTGCCCTTTCGCTTGCTGTTGGCCTATTCTATGCACAGGTGAGCCCCAAGCACGACATAATCTTCATGATCACCAAGATGGGGTACCTGTTCATGTTCGACATCCACTCCGGGAAGGCCCTGTACCGCGCCAAGATCAGCGAGCAGACCATCTTCGTCACCACCACCCAGGTATCCAGATGTTCAGTCTTTTATTCTGCAGGTTTCGTGCTGAGTCTGCCCTGTCGATTTTGTTAATATTTTGTGACGGTGCGGGCGAACCCTCGGGTTTGCCATCGATCGATGTCAAAAGGTCGAGTTTTCCACACCCCAAGAGGCTGCCAATTTGTTTGTTTGTTCCGCTCTCTTTTTGGTTAAGTTTTGCACGGATCCGTGATATCGCAGAAGGGGTGCGCACACGTGAACGTGATGTATCCACGATATATTTCTTTTCCCACCCGGGGATCCTTGATTTTCGGCACGGTGCCGACGGGGCCTGGGTTTGGCACGGGCGCGCGCGAAACAACCAAGAACAGGTATCTCGTCGAGAGCTGTCTCTTCCTCGCACGTGGTGACGGTCGGGTTTCGATACCGCCCTCTTTGACGACCCCCTGGTCGTGGAGCAAGAATGGATGGCAAATCTGCGCGTTCGCCCGCGCCCTTACCGCAATCAATCTGTTTTGTCCTCCCCTGCACACAGCCATTTTTCGACAAGAGGCTGTTCAAGAAGCGGTTCCGTGCATGCCGTTGCTAACCTCTTGTACCCACCCCCCACCCCCACCCCCACCCCGCCTCTAAAAACACTCCTTTTCTGCGTCATTACCAACCTCTTGTGCCGCCCCCGGCCCCGACTCCGAACCCACGCCACTTTTCGCCTCAGGACGCGACCGGAGGCATCGTCGGCATCACCGCCCGCACAGGAGCCGTCCTCCAGATCTCGGTCAACGAGGCCACCCTGGTGCCCTACGTGGTGAACACCCTCCGGGACTCGGCCCTCGCCATCCAGCTCGCCGCCCGCCTTAACCTGCCCGGCGCCGACGACCTGTACATGTCGGAGTTCAACCGCATGCTGGGGTCGAACGACGTGGCCGCTGCGGCCAGGCTTGCGGGGGAGTCTCCCAACGGTGAGCGACGGCGGCTTCGAATCCGTGTGTGTGTTGTTTTGGCCGGGGCCGATGTGCGTGCTGTCACGTGGAGATTGGGGAGCGGGGCGATTGAGTGTGTTGGTGTCCGTAATTTTCCCCTCGACAGCTGTTGCTACACACGTTTTGTTTTGGGGCGTTTCGAATCAGCGACGTTCTGCATGTATTCAGCAACACATGCGTCTTGACCTCATATATTTTTTCTTCAGATGTGGTATGCATATGTGCAATGCATGTGTTTTTTGCTTTTTTTGTGTACAGTTATGTTGTTGTCTCACCCCCCCACCCTCATCTCCTCGTTGTGCACCTTTGTCGGAAAAAAAAAAACTTTTTTTTTTTGTAGGTCTTCTGCGGACCGCCGCTACGATCCAGCGGTTCCAGCAGATCCCCGCTGTGCCCGGGTCACCGCCGCCGGTGTTCCAGTACTTCTCGGTGCTGCTCGAGCGCGGCAAGCTCAACGGCATGGAGAGCATCGAGCTCACCCGCCCGGTCCTTACCCAGGGCCGCACTGACATGCTCGAGAAGTGGCTGACCGAGGTGAGTTTATTTTTATTTTTTCCCGTGGTGGTTGTGCGTTTTTTGTTTGCGTGTTGCCCTGTTCTGTGGTGTACCATGTGCTTTTTTGTGAAACCAAGGGTTTCATTTTCTTCGTTTCCCTCTCTCACGGACACACCCCTCCCATCTCTCTGTCTCCCACCCTCTTGCCCTATATCTCTTATCTGTGCAGGACAAGCTGGAGTGCTCCGAGGAGCTCGGAGACCTCATCTCCCAGGTGGACGCCAACATGGCCCTTTCCGTGTACCTGCGCGCCAACGCCGCCGAGAAGGTCGTGAACTCCTTCTCCCAGAGGGGGGAGTTCGACAAGATGGTGGCCTACGCCTCCAAGGTCGGCTACCGGTGCGACTACACCGTCATGCTCCAGAACATGGTGCGGACGAACCCCCAGGGGGCCCTGGCGTTCGCGAAGAAGGCCGCGACCACGGAGCCCCCGCAGATCGACCCTAACACGGTGGTGGAGACGTTCATGTCGGCCAGCCTGGTGCAGGAGACGACCGCCTTCCTGCTGGAGGCCCTCAAGAACAACAAGAAGGAGGAGGGGTACCTGCAGACGAAGCTGTTGGAGATCAACCTCCTCGGGGGGTCCCCGCAGGTGGGAAGACGGGGGGGGTATGTGTTTTTTGCCCTTGCGTGACCTGTGAATGGTGTTGGCTCGTCGTGTTTTTGGTGGTGATGTGGGGGAGGTAGCCAAGGCTGCGTGGCGCAGGTCACGGGCGTATTCTTTTTGTCGCGTTTTGTGTCGTATCTCGCCTGCGAGTCAGCATCAGCCCGCCCCCCAAGACCCGCTGATTCCACGTTTCAACTGGACCTCTGGACCTCTCCCCCGTCCTTATCATGTAGCAGATTTTGGTGTATACAACCGAAATGTGTGCGGCTCGCGGTAGCAGGTCTTATGACATCCAGGATGGGCGGCTTGTTATCCCGCTCACCCGCTCCGACCCCCCCGTTTAGCCTCGGGAAATGAACACGTCCGTCATGAAGACGAGGCTGCCATGCAGATGAGGCATGGTGTTTCCAACGAAACCGAATGTGGACGCTGCCTCCCATTTTTGGTACTGCAGACTTCGAAACACGCCCTTTCATGATGAAGACGAGAAGCGGCAATGTCAACGTTGACCCTTGCTGACAACCATGGGACCGCCACCCTTGCCCCCTGTTTGTTGTGGGTTTTGTCTAACCGTACCGCTGCAGGTGGCCGACGCTATCCTGGACAACGACATGTTCACGCACTACGACCGCACCCACGTGGCCAAGCTGTGCGAGAACGCCGGCCTGTACCAGAGGGCCCTTGAGCACTACAGGTACTATATTATAGTAACATATCACTACAGGTAGTAACTTGACATTGGTAGTACCGTAACGCTACAGGTGGCAGCATAACAAGACATCGGACAGCCGTCCAGGCTGTCAGCGTCGTCATGCTTTTTTGCGGCCAATGTTTTCCTCAGTCACTTCTTTTGCATACTTGAAGCATAAACAAGACATCGGACAACAGTCCAGGCTGTCGGAGTTGTCATGTTTTGCAGCCAAGCTTGACTCACAGTCAGCGTATGTATCACGGCGTTAGGGCTCAATCCAGCCAGAAATGTACGGTGTTGCCCTTGCTGACACGGTCAAGATGCAGTGGGCGTTGATCGCATAGTCTAATGCTTTGCGGGCTGGCCTTCATGCCTGGGTACGTTATCGTCGTCGTCCTTATGCCCCTCCTGACTCAGGGGTTCCGTGAAATTGCAATTTTTTGGTTGACACGCGGCGATTGTTTTCCCTTGTCCGCCGGAAATCTCTGTTTTGTTTTGTTTTTTCGTCGTCGTGGCATAACAACGAATGAATGGTGAAATGGCGACCAACAGCACCCCCGCCGACATCAAGCGGCTCATGTCCTATGCCCCGGCGATGAACTCGGAGTTCATCGTGAGCTACTTCGGCACCCTCTCGAGGGAGACGTCGATCGACGTCATGAAGGAGATGCTCGGCAAGAACATGCGCCAGAACCTGCAGATGGTGGTCCAGGTGCGTTGTGTCGCCTGCCTGCCTGCCTGCTTGCCTGTCGCCTGTTGCCTGTCGTCTGTCCTTTCGATGACCTGTGTTGGTGTAGAACATGTCATCTTGCAAGAAACGACAAATCCCTCTCGTCCACAGGCTGCCATTTAGAAAATATCCATCTAATCCAATCATAGAGAGAGAGACTACCCATTCGAGATATAACCGCGTTACAGTCCAAGGCCCTTTTGTGTTGGGTGCGAGGGCACGCGGATTTGTAGATGACCGCGCACCGGTTGACAACCTCTTTCAATATTTCGACACCATTAGCCACCAAACACCTTTTTTTCCTGGAGTTGTTGGGATTTGGTGCCAAAGCCAAAGGTTGTTGATCATTGCTTCTACGCCTGGAACAGCTATGTACGCTTTTCTTGTGCAAGTTTGTGTACTTGGTTACGTGGATCTCAAGGCGTGTACTTGGTGCCGTGGATCCCACGGCCTACTTTTTTTGGAGCAGTCTTGGATATTGGCCGTCCTATTTCGATTCTGTGATTTCCGGAACAGCTACATTTGAAGCCCTTTTTCTTGTGCGGATCTATTTGCTTGGTTGCGTTGATTCCGCGGCCTCTTTCTTGTGGCGCAATCTTGCGCGTTTTTCTTCTTGTTTTTTTCGTCTTGACTTCAAATCAGAGCTCATCAAGCGTTTGTGCCGTCGCCAAAGTTGCACTGCTTCGTTTCGGTTCGTTAGTAGTCCCACCGCCGCCGCCCCCTCTCTGCCCGCGTTGCGTACGAACAGATCGCCACGGCGTACTCCGACCAGATCGGGGCTGAATCCCTGATGGAAATGTTCGAGAGCTTCAAGCTGTACGAGGGTCTCTTCTACTACCTGGGTGCGATCGTGAACAACTCCACGGAGCCGAACGTGCACTTCCGGTACATCGAGGCAGCTGCCAAGATGCAGCAGTTCAAGGAGGTGGAGAGGGTGTGCCGCGACTCTACCGTCTACGAAGCCGAGAAGGTAAAAAAAAGGAAAAAAAATGCGGCGGGAAGATGCAGTCGTCGCACACTGTTTTGTCGCCGGTGCCCCCAAGAACAAATAGTGGCTACTTTGTTTTGTGGTTTCTGTAGGTTTGACTTTGCAGTCGTCGCACACTGTTTTGTCGCTCGTGCCCCCAAGAACAAATAGTGGCTACTTTGTTTTGTGGTTTCTGTAGGTTTGACTTTTTTTATATGTTGGTGAGTTGTAGCCTACAACAACAAAATATTGTTGGAGTGTTGCTTTTTTGGCTTGTGCCGCAGACAGTTGGACCAGTACGGACACTAGAAAGTACTTAGCGGAAACCAGAACGGTTTTAATGTCAAGACAACATTTAACAACCTCATCCAGGTTAAGAACCTCCTTATGGGCCCTAAACTGCCCGACCAGCGAGATAGGCTTCCTTGTTTCTTGTTTCTTGTTTGTTGCTTCGTTTGATTTTTTATTGTGTTCTTTGGTTGTACACTGTACTATCGCCGACAGGTGAAGAAGTTCCTGATGGACGCCAAGCTGCCAGACCCGCGTCCCCTGATCCACGTGTGCGACCGCCACGACTTCATCGAGGAGATGACCGGGTACCTCTACAACAACAACATGCAGAAGTACATCGAGGTATGGATGGATGCTACTTTATGCTGTTGTCGTTGATCATTGTTTTGCGTTTTTTGTCATGGACCCCCCGTTGTCATTTAGTGTGAGTGACTTATTTTTGTCACCCCTGCTGTTGTTTTTTCCCCCGTGCCTTCCCCAACGCCAAACGGTGAACAGAACACAATTAACGTAAATATAAACACACAAAGCATACATACATGCTTGGTTCGGTGTTTGCCTTCTGGTTGCTGCTGTTGATGTTGTGCATGTTGTCGAAACTCAAAATGTCGTCCCGTGTTGCCATGCCTGATTTTGGTGTTGGTCTCGCGCCGTGGTGTTTGTCAGGTGTACGTGCAGAAGGTATCCCCGCAGAAGACCCCCATGGTCGTGGGCAAGCTGCTGGACCTGGATGCCCCCGAGGACTTCATCCGACAGCTGCTCAACTCCGTCGGCCACCAGTGCCCCGTCGACGAGCTGGTCGAACAGGTGAACACTACGGAAGATACCACACACACCCTCGACCGATTTCCCACCTTTGGACAACTACTGTACTCGACAAGAGAGTGCAAAAGTCGAGTGATTTGTTGTCGGGAAGCTCTCGACGACAGTTGCAACGCTACCGTTTTCGTCGCCGCCACTATTTCTGCTGTGGAGTAGTCGAGCGTGGAAGGTCTGTCAAGGGGGTATGGTATCTTCCGTCACCCTCTTCTTTCGAGGGAGTATGGTATCTTCCGTCACCCTCTTCTTTCGAGGAAGTATGGTGTCTTACGTCACCCTCTTCTTTCGAGGAGTATGATATCTTCCGTCACCCTCTTCTTTCGAGGGAGTATGGTATCTTACGTCACCCTCTACTCTACTCCCTTCCTTCTCGTGGTGGCAACACGGTTCCCAATGTTTTTACATTTCTGAAACCGCTGACTGACAAAAATCGACAAACGCATGCATGAATATGAAAACGTTTCCGCGCAGGTGGAGAGGCGCAACCGCCTCCGCCTCCTCCAGCCCTGGCTCGAGGCCATGGTGTCCACGGGGAATACGGAGACGGCTACCCACAACGCCGTCGGGAAGATCTACGTGACCCTCAACAAGGACCCGGTGACCTTCCTCACCAACAACCAGTTCTACGACCCCAAGGTGCGTAACGCCAGTGTCTCTTTTGTGTCTTTGGTTTGTGTGTGTGTGTGTGTGTGTGCCTTTTGAGTTATCATCGACAGCGCTAACCGCTGGGTGTGTTTGATTTCTTGTTAAAAACGCGACATATTAATTTCTATGGGATGGGTGTGTTGTATGCTATGTGTGTACTATGATAGCACCGGCGGCGCTTCCCGCTGACCAATTTGTGTGTTATGTGTGCGTGCTGTTTTTCCTTGTACGTTTGGTGCTGCGTTTGTCATTGGGAGGGGTATTTACGCGCGGGGTTTTGTTTTGTTTTGACACCATGGATGTGTTTCTGTCTGGAAGGTTTTGGTCTCTGGAGACCAGAACATTGGCCGCACCTCCCCCCCCCGTGAATCCTTTGGTAGGTGCTGAGCACATCGCAAGAAGCGAGATCCTTCCGCTACACTTCTGCCCCCCCCCGCCCCCCTCCCCCCCCAAAAAAAAAAAAAAAAACATTTTGTGAGAACTCCCTCCATTTGGCCTGTCTCTCTGTGTGATAGGTGCTCGGTAAGTACTGCGAGAAGCTGGACCCGTCCATGGCCTTCCTTGCCTACAAGAAGGCGGGCGGCGCCTGCGACGATGACCTCCTTCGGGTCACGAGCGAGAACGGCCTCTTCAAGAACCAGGCGCGGTATCTCGTGGAGAAGCAGGACATGGACCTTTGGGCCAAGGTGCGTGCGTGTGTGTGTTTTTTTTTTTTTTTTCGTGTTTGTTGTGTGTTTGAAATAGCATCGACCGTGGCAGCCGGCGTTCCATTGAAAATTCGCCAGTCTTCTGGATGTGTGTTTCGTGTCCGTTGTGTCTGGTTTATTGTTAGTGTCGACCGCACTTACACACTAATGAGAAGACGTCAGTGTGTGTGACGTATGGCGCACCCTCTTGGCGTTTTGGGGGCCGCGAATATTCGAGACAATTTTCCACTGTTTCTCTGCAGCATGTGCAAATGCATGTGTTTTTTCGCGGTCGCTTCTGGCGAAGGGTACGGACGATGCCTACAAAATCACGAACGACATGCGCTGATCCGTTGTGGTTCTAGGTGGCGGACGACACCCACAATGTACCAGCTTGGTACGATACGCGCTGATCCTCCTCCCTTGTTTCTGCGTTGCGCGTGCGCGTATCCGCGACACTGCTGCCCCGGGTCGGTGTCACAGGTGCTGACGAAGGCGGAGGGAGAGACGCAGGAGCCCGCCTCCCGGCGCGCCCTGATCGAGCAGGTGGTGCAGACGGCGCTCCCCGAGACGAAGAACGCCGACGAGGTTTCCACCACCGTTAAGGCGTTCATGAACGCCGACTTGCCGTCGGAGTTGATCGAGCTGCTCGAACGCATCGTGCTCCAGGTGTGTGTGTGTGTGTTTTTTTTTTTTTATGATAAGCATCGACCGCGCTAACCGGCTGACCAATGAAACGACGTCAGTCTCGATGCGGTTGAAAACACAGAACTGTGTGTGTGTGTGTGTGTTTGGGTTTTGAGTTTGCATCGACCGCACTAACCCGCTGACAATGAAAAGACGTTAGTCTCAGTGCGGTTGAAAACACAAAACTGTGTGTGTGTGTGTGTGTGTGTGTGTGTGTGTGTTTTGAGTTTGCATCGACCGCGCTAACCCGAGTCGGTGTGCGCGCCGTTTTGCGTGTGTTGCTTCTGTTTTTTCGGTTCTGGGAACACCCCGCGATCGGAGTCGAAGGGAGAAAACCTAGGGGATGCTGCGCTTATTTTGTCAGCTGTGGTGCTAGTGACGACAACATATGGATCGGTTTTACGTCAATTATGGGTAGCCGTTTTCGGCCACGATACAAAAATGATCTCTCGTTTTACCCTTTGGAAGTGGACGCACCAACCCTTGTGGAAGATGACGCAATGCCACGATGTGATCCCATACTGCAAAAAACTGACAAATTCTGGTCTTTTTTTGTATTGGGACAGGGTTCCGACTTCTCTGAGAACAAGAACCTCCAGAACCTTCTCATCCTGACGGCCATTAAGGCCGACCGAGAGCGCGTGATGGAGTACGTTAACCGCCTGGACAACTTCGACGGACCGGAGATCGCCAAGATCGCGGCTTCGGAACAGGTGAGGGGGAACACGGGGCTGGCTGCTCCTGCTCCCAGAAGTTGCGGTAATGTTGGTGGCGGTTGGCTGTCGCTGCTGCTGCTGTTGTGGTGTTGGCTCAGCAATGTCGTCGTTGCTATGGTGGTTGCTGTTGTTGGAGTTGTGTTCTTGGTTTCCTAGTCTTTGCTGTCGTTGTCAGTATTGTGCCTGCTGTTCTTTGAGGTTTGCTCTTGGTCTCCTATATTTTTGTTGTCATCGTCGGCATTGCGGTTGTTGTCATTGTCGGTATTGTGGTTGCTGCTGTTGTTGTGGTGGTCTTTTCTTTACGTTGTCTTTGTTGCCGCCGTCGGTTTTGTTGTTGGTGTTGTTGTCTTGGCTTCACAATGCCGTTCTCGTTGCCATCATCGTTCTGACTGCGGGTGGTTGTTGTTATAATTGTTGTTGGTTGTGGCCCCTGCTCTATACTTCTGACACCCGTACCGCAACGGTTTGCTTTGATGATGGTCACCAGTACGAGCTCTTCGAGGAGGCGCTCCTGATCTACACCAAGTGCGGCAAGAAGAGCGAGGGCGAGGAGAAGACCGCCATGCACGTCAGCGCCGCCGAGGTGCTGGTGGACAACCTGAAGGACCTCAACAGGGCCAAGGATTTCGCAGAGCGGGTCGCGGACAGCGCCGTTTGGAGCAAGGTGGGGGATGGTTGATTGATTGTGCCTGCCATTGGAAGCCACACCAGCTGCAGCGATTACCGTATAACGATTTTCATTGATTATGCCTGCCTTTGGAAGCCATAGCTGAAGCTGCATCCTTTTGCAGCCACAGCTGTGCAGTTGCTGCAGCGATTGCCTTAACCCATCGAGGTGGTGATACGTTCCCGCTGTTCTTGAATGGATGGCAGTCGAAAAAAAAACACAAGAGTAGAATTGCAGTACCAAAACAAAACAGGAAACAGATTCCAATTGTATGTTGCTCCCTGCGAAACGTTCGTCGTGTTGCTTGTTAACTCCGCATGCAGCCCTGATGGTATTTTACCAGTTTCGCTCTCGGTTTTTGTGCCTCTTTTGGGGGTGTTAATTCTCTTTGTCTCTGCTTTTCTTTCCTCCCTCGAATTTTCGCTTCCGCCAGGTCGCCAAGGCCCAGCTGGACGAGGACATGTGCGTGGAGGCCATCGCGTCTTACATCAAGGCGGAGGACCCCAGCTACTACGCAGAGGTGAGAAGGACAACAAAAGCAGAACGGCAACCGTCCTGCCTGCTTGCAGAAGCAAGCTCTCTGAGTGCGGTAGCTGCTGTGACCGCTGCTGCTGTGAATTTGCAACATATATATATTTTTTTTCGCTCTGTTGCCCTGTGGAGGGACATCTCCCCCCCCCGCGATATCGCGCCTGCCATCTCCTCGTTTGGCCGAAAATCCGCTCGAATAGTACAAATTCTCATCCCATTTTCGTACGGTACCATTTTCCATCACATTCTCCTCAAGGCTTTTCGCGTTTAAATGACCTGCGCGCGCCTGTGATTCTCTTATTGTTTTTAAAACACAAGTTTCCATCGCACTAATACATACCCCATGGTAATTCCGTCCCATCTAATTTCCCAGGTGATCGAGGCCGCCGAGCGCGACGGTGCGTTCGAGCAGCTGGTGCTGTACCTTCGCATGGCCCGCAAGGAGGTGAAGGAGGCCATCATCGAGAACGAGCTCATCTACTCTCTCGCCAAGACCAACGCCCTGGGCGACCTCGAAGAGATCATCGCCGCTCCCAACGTGGCCAACATCGAGGTGAGATATGGCGACGCGGCAGCGGTGGCGGATGGTGGTTGTTTTTGTCTTGGTGTTAGAATCGTCCCGGTCTCTGCTCGGTACCTTATGGTGTCCGTAGTGACTGGTCCTACCGACGCGAACGTGTTCTGGAAGGGGAAGGATGCTTGGAGTCGGGCGGTGTTTCATGTGTGTTGTTGGTTATGATGAATATTGCTTGGATTGCGATTGGAAGTGGAGGAAAGAGTTATTTTAGTACCTTGGATAAGGCGGGGTGTCGGTGATGCTGGTGTTTTTTGTTGTTGCTGCTGGTGCTGCTCAGTTAGTTAGATGCCATCGATGCACATGTTTGCCGCGTCCGTCTTCGTCTATCCCCTGCATTTGTTGACGTACCGTCACGGTTACGGTAACGAGCAACACTTGGTGTCCTCCCCATGAGAAAGAACATCCAAGCGGCATACCCAAACAAGACTCTTCTCTCTTTCGTCACCGCACCAGGGCATCGGAGAGCGCTGCTTCGACGAGGGCATGTACGAGGCGGCCCGCCTGCTCTTCAAGAACATCCACAACAACGCCAAGCTGGCCCTGTGCCTGGTGCACCTCGGACAGTACCGAGAGGCGGTCGAGGCGGCTACGAAGGCCAACGCTGTCAACACCTGGAAGCAGGTAAGGGGAGCAGGCTCCTAAGTGTGGTGGTTGTGTGGTTGTTTATCTAAAATTGACGTTTTTTAGGTTCGGTCGACCTCGAATTACCAACGTTGTAAACACCTGGAAGCGGGTAATGGGAGCAGGCTCCAAGACACTTGAACGTGCGGTGCTTGGTAAGGTTTGTAGTTGCAGTCGCCCCCCCCCCCTCCTCCCCCGCCGTTCTTTTTGATATTCCCATGTGTCGTGACCCCTCCCCTTCCCCGAAACTGCTGTTGTCGTATTCAGGTCTGCTACGCGTGTGTTCGCGCGGACGAGTTCCGACTCGCCGGTGTTTGTGGTCTGCACATCCTCAAGCACCCCGACCACGTTGAGGAGCTCATCCAGCACTACGAGAGGGCGGGCCACCCCACGGAGCTCATCCAGCTCATGGAGCAGGTGAGCTGTTAGATGTCCTGCCCGAAACCAAATAGATGAAGTAAATCTTAAACGAAGAACTCCCCTCAAATATTTTTTGTGATGCACCGAATCCAATATTGTGCGAGCTGTGGTGTAGTGTTCTTGAAAATTCGGGTGACGTGTTTCTTGTTGTCATCTTGGTCGATACATACGTGTGGTGCTGATGCAGGTGCTGGTAGTGTTCTTGTTGGCGAAGAGTGGTACCCCCCCCCCCCCCCGTGGGCGCGCGCGCGAATTCACGGTGCCCCCCGAGTAGGGGTACTCTGGCACCCCTCGGATCTAAGTTAGGCAGACACATGGTGACGTGCACCCCCACCTTTGCGGCTGCAAATATTGTTGACCTTGGCGTTTGTTGTTTACACGTGCAGGGTTTGGGTCTGGAGGAGGCCCACTCCGGGGTGTTCTCGGAGCTGGCGGTGCTCTACTCCAAGTACAGCCCCGAGAAGCTGATGGAGCACATCAAGATATTCTGGTCCCGTTGCAACGTCACCAAGGTATGTAGCATGGGGACATTGCTGTGGTGGTGGTGGTGGTAGATGCGATGAAGTTGAACGGGTAGTAATCCTGTTGTCATGATCGTGGTGGTGGGTGCTGTAAAGTTGTGAAGTTGAGTTTAAGTTGGATGTTTGCTGTTGTGGTTGTCGTTGTTGTTGTGGCAGTGGATGCGATGGGGTTGAACGACAGCGTGTTACTCTTGAAGATCTTCATACACGAGGCTCCTCTTGTGGCTGCCATGTCTGACTGCCCGAACTCTCTTTTTCCTTTTGTTGAGGTGCTGCGCGCGTGCGAGAGGGCTCTCCTGTGGGACGAGGCGGTGTACCTGTACAAGGAGGATGCACAGTACGACTCCGCTGTCAAGACCATGATCGACCACTGCGTCTGCTTCAAGCACGAGCTGTTCCTCGACTGTGTTACCAAGGTGGGTGACTCTCTGCTGCTCCTGCTGTCGCTGGTATTCGTCCTCATATGACTGTATGGCATGGGACAACCTACCGCTAAACATAACGACACCGAAGCACGCCATCTTTCCACATCCATTCGCATTGTCGTGTTTTGTGTAGTTTTTTTCGTTGGTAACGCCCTATTTTTGTTGTCCATCGCACGGCTTTCCTGGTGCCGGTGCGTGTCGGTGCTCTTGATGGTTGGATGCAAGAAAAGTGGATGAAAACTGTAGTTTTCGTGTCGAGTAGGTTTCTCGACCATCCTCACCCGTCACACGATAGCCCTGCCCCACCCCGATTTGGCCATCGGCGAAGATTTCGTGCGGGAACAAATTCCCCGTCCTCTGTGGTCGGTGGTGTCACAGCTATTTCAGGCGTGCAAAACATGAGTACGCCCCTTCCCCGTATCCCGTTTCCCACCCCGATGGAAACGTTTTCTAGGTACGAAACCAAGAGGTGAACTACAAGGCGATCACCTTCTACCTGGAGCAGCACCCTCTCAAGCTCGTCAGGCTGCTAACGGTGCTTACCCCCAACCTGGACCACAGTCGCGTGGTGCACCAGCTGAGGAAAGCGGAGAACCTGCCTCTCGCGATCGACTACCTCAAGTCGGTGCAGAAGGTAAGAGATGAGGGGGCACACGGACAGGGGCGAACGGGTAGGTAGACGGGCATCCAGGGTAGGAAGCTGGAAAGAGACACTTTTTTTTGGGACGTCAAGTCTGGTATGCACTCGCCATATTGACTAACTCATGTCCGTGCAGAAGGTGAGGACAAGAGGGGGCACACGGACAGACAAGATATTAAGTCGAGTCTCTATCCCGAGGGTATATCCTCTGTACCGGAGACAGGGACAGAGACAGAGACACGCATGCAGAGGCACGGGACAGATTGACAATACCGGACGAAAAGCTATCCATGGATCTGCTTTGAACCGCCCTACAGAGAGAGAGGATAGGACTCCCCCCCTCTTGGTGGAAGTGGTGACGTGACGTGACGTCGGTGTCTTTTCTTGGAGAACGTGGCCGCCGCCAAAGTTTCCTGAAGACGTCCCTCGGCTGCTTATCGGTCGAGAGATCCTGCTTGTCGGTCGAGAGATCCTGCTTGTCGGTCGAGAGACACTGCTTGTCGGTCGAGAGATACTGCGTGTCAGTCGAGAGATACGCGCCCCTCTTTCGTCGTAGAATACTTGTTGCAGCGTTGCTGTGAATGATGGTGTCTGGTTCGTCGGCCTTTTTTTCCTCTTTTTTTTTTTTCTTTTAGGAGAACGTGGCTGCCGTGAACGAGGCCTTGAGCGAGCTGTACATCGAGGACGAGGACCACGAGAAGCTGAGAGAGTCGGTAGACGACTACGACAACTTCGACCAGGTAAAAACACAACTTGCACGATACTGCGCGTTACCCTTTCTACAACATGTCTCATTTTGAATCAACGGCTGCGAATACCCCCACTCCGCGCCTTTCCTAGACCACCCAGTAGCGCTCTCGATTATACAGCAGTACGCGTCCCGACTCGTCTCTGTTTTTTTTGTTCTGTGGAGAACCCCAACATCGAACAGGTGTACCAAGGACTTAGACACACACAGCGCGTGGCACGTGTACCTCTCAATCCCTCCCCCGAGACTTGGTCCTTTGTTTCTCTTGGGATAACCCAATATGTATCCACTGACTGTGGGTTTCGTTGTAGGCCCTGATCTTTCCCTCTTCCCCCCCCAAAAAAAACGCATGTTTCGTAAAAAGTCCACGCCGACATTTTCTGCCTTTGTCCCGTGTCCTGCGAAATTTTCCGCGCAGGTCGCTCTGGCACAGCGCATCGAGAAGCACGAGCTGCTGGAGTTCAGGCGCATCTCCGCGTACGTGTACAAGAAGAACCGGCGGTTTCAGCAGTCCGTTGCCCTCAGCAAGGGGGACAAGATGTACAAGGTGAGGAGAAACCGCTTCGATTCGTAGGCTAGGGATTCTTGTGCTTGCGTCAAGGGTGGGCTGAAAGAGTACGGGGCATGGTTAGATCGAGTCGCGGCACTTGGGCGGCATGGTTGGCGAGGCCTTTGGCGCCCTGCGCTCTCTCTCTGCCACGGTGTGCATCACGGCTGGTGTGGTACGCATGTACGTTTAGACAGACAGCGGAGGATGGACCAAGTGTGTTTTTCGTACATATAATTGACGTGAGTTTGTTGTATGTTGCCCGCTCTTTGCGCTCGAGTACGGTTGCGCAGCGTCGCTAAGATTGCCAAGTTGCTAAGCAGACCATCCACAACAACAGGCAGAGTACCAACTCAATTGTGCTGCCCCCCCTCCCACGTGTTTTTTTGCGTCGCCAAGCTTGCCAAATTGCAGCAGACCAACAACAACGGGCAAAGCACGAACCCAATCGTCTACCCCCCCCCCCCCCCTTGCGATTGTTGTTTATTTATTTTTCAGGACGCCATCGACACGGCGGCGGAGTCGGGCGACTCCTCCCTTGCGGAAGACCTGCTGTCATTCTTCGTCAACATCGGGGACAAGGAGTGCTTCTGCGCGGCCCTGTACACGTGCTACTCGCTCGTGCGGCCAGACGTGGCCATGGAGCTTGCCTGGCGAAACAAGTGAGGGTCATATTTTTATTGTTGTTTGCCTTCTTACACATGATTTTTATTTTTGTGGATGGAGATGTTGGATCGTTCGTCCCTTGACGAGGACAGGGGGGGTGCGTTGGCCCACGCGAAGCGGCTTGATTCGGTGGGTGAGTGTGTAGGCGGTTGATGAAGCTTATCGACCAGGTGATGCAGTATTGGCGAAAACATAAAGTGATGTTTTTGACGTCAGGGTGATGCTTTTTGAAGCTGCCTCGACGGGGGGGCTGCCTGTCTTCGGGGTACAATGGTATGGTGTTCGTAATCGGTGCTGGGTTGTTCCCCAGGATGCTTGAGGCCGACTTTTAAGAGCGTATTGGCGATTTTTGTCCCGCTTTGGACCGATACCTTTCTCTCACTGTCAGCCGATTCGCGCGTGTTCGATGCTAGCGTTTATAGACATGCCTCCAACGCACCCTGCCTTCGCAGGGTACACCCTTGATAGTTTGTATCTCCGCTCTGCCCCGCCCGCACTGAAACACGCTTCCTTTCCCCTCTTGTTTTGCCGCACGCCATGTACACTGCCACGGTTCTGCTCTTTTAGCTACACGGACTACGCGATGCCGTTTATGATCCAGTACTTGCGCAACCTCCACGAGAAGGTCGAGGCCATCGACACCCGCACCAAGGTGGGTTACGTACGTACACCACGTATTGTTTCGTTTTTGTTTATTTTTGTCAGTGTGACCCAACGAATCCATCTCTATCGAAGAAAAGAGTCTAAGATAGATTAGCAAGGAATCCATTGCGTCAGCGAAAGTTCTGTTTTTCCACGATTTCTCGAGCAGCACACAGTGATATCTCCCCCGTGGGTAACAGGGTCAACAAGACAGTTTGGTAGCCGTCTTGTGTATCTATCTGTATGTTATGCTGGGAAGGTGTAGAAGGAAGGTGTTGGGTAGTTGGTTCATTTTTGTTGATTGTTTTTCTCGCTTGTTTTGTTTTATTGGCTCTTGGACCCCAAGAGCATTCTTGTTGTTGTCACCTTGCCGCTTGGCCAGCCTCTCTTGAGGTTTTTTCATGTTATTGCTCTCCGTCAATGTTTAGCGTGAGTCTGTGAACGGCGGTTGGGCGTCCACGCCCCTACCCAACCTACCCCACCTGCAATACAAAAGTCTTGCGCCCATCTTGTAGCAGGTGCTATGTACCGTGCTAAATCCTTGCGTGTACCGTGACCTTCACCTTGTCGCACGACCAGGTGTCCGTGGACAAGGAGGAGGATGCCGCCGCCGCCGCCACCGCCGCAGCTGCCGCCAGCATGATGGACCCGGGGATGATGAACGGCGGCCCGGCTCTCTTGGCCAACACGCCTTTCAATGCCCCTGGCCAGATGGGAGGCTACGGCCAGATGGGCGACCCCTCCATGGGCATGGGAGGAGGGGCCGCAGGGATGGGGATGGGGGGGATGGCGCCGGGGGGCATGCCGCAAATGGGGGGCATGCCCGGCCCTGGGATGATGGGGTCGGGAGGGGGCATGGGGTTCTGAGGAAAAGGAACATTGTGAATGAGGAGTACAATCGCTTGTTCTTGTAGCCCTTCACAAGGAAGGAAGAGTCAATCCCCTCTGGAGGTTTGGGGGGGGTTATCGCAGCGCTTGCTTGCCTCGGGGTTGGTGTGGACTTGCTGCGCCACAACGGGGGACCCCGTGGGTGTTCTTTGTTCTTCTCCGTGCCGGGATGGGACGGTCGGCGCGAGGCGTGATTTGCTGTTGCTGTCAGGGGTAGGAAATTTTGCGCTGGACAACTTTGGCGCCCAGTGTGGCGATCGTAAAGGGTCGGGATGGAAACCGAGTGGTCATCTTCATCAGCAGCAGCAGGGTCGGGCTTAATGTTTCCATCATTTTCATTCTTGTTGATCCGCTGCGGAGGGTTGGGCGTAGTGAAAGATGGACGGAGGAGGGCCTGCAGACTCAGACGTCATCTAGGGCGGGGGGGGCGTCAGCTATTTGTTGGGTTCCGCGGTTTTTGTTTTTTTGGAAACCCCGTCATTTGTTTCTCCGGCATGGTAAGCGGTTACACGTGGACCGAGGAAGCTTGAAGAGGGGAATTCGGGCAGGGTCGGGGGCGAAACTAAATGTGTCCCAGTCAGTTTGGCAAGGGGGACTGCCCACAAATGAGCGCCCGTACTTTACGTCAGAGCGGGGGTATCAAATTGCAGCGGTCTGATTTTGAGGGCGGCGAGTGAAGATTGCGGTTGCCACTCCTCTCCTTTACTGTGGTAGAAGTTAGAGCAGTGTCATATCTTGTCGCTGGCGACTCGCTTTTTTTCGCGTGTCCCGCACGATGGCGACGACCATGGCTGCCTGTAGTTCCTAGTAATGCGTGTATGAAGAAGCTATGGTAATAAATTGAGGAAACAATACTTACTTGCTTTCTTGGCTGTGGATTGGAGACGGTTGTTTTGCCGGAATAACCGCGTTGCCGTGGTTTGGTGCACATGGTTTTCAGTCAAGCAGAGAGTTCGCTTTGCGCGAGAGCTGTCTGAGGAAGCCAGAAAATGATACTTGTTTTTTTGCTCTTGCGTTGTCTCTCAGGGGCCTCCGGTCCGTCGTGTCAGCTTCCGTCCACACCAGTTGGAGGATGACTGCTGTAGAGCCCCACACGGCCGCAGTGTACGTACCCCGCCGCACGTGTAGCGGCCACGTCGCACCCTGTGACGAACGAGAACGCTATCCTCAACTTTTTCCTCTCCCTGGCATCTAACCTACCGTGTGCACTCAAGATTGCCCTAAATGCTATCGCGGGTAATCAAAAGCCTGTGGCTCGTCAAGAAAAGGCCTTCTGTCTACCACATTATCAAGAGGTCGGGAGTCTATATATATGGTCTGATCAGTTGTGTGTTGTTGTTGTGGGTAGTAAGTCTACTACCTCCTATGCATCCCCCGCTTGCGGGTCTCTACACCCGGCATTCCGCTAGCTATATTAGTGCACTGGGAAAGAACGGGCGCCTAAGACGCAACTGGTGAAAGTCCGAAGATCTCATCAAGGCTCGTCGCGTGACGCCCCACAAAAGGTTGCTGATCGACCCCCTGTGGAGACATGAGACAAGCTTGATGGTGTCTTCACTCTGCCTCTTGTGTGGTCGCGGTCAAGTCGGGCTTGACTTGATTGCGTACACGCACGCACGAAAGACAGCACATATGGACCGCACCTGGTTTGTTCGTATGTATGCGCTTTGTTTGAGAAAGAACGAGGTGAGGACGGGGACCCTAAACGACGGGCCATCCTTGCCGCTTCTCGCATAGAGTACGGTAGAGTTAAGACTTTACAGATTTGGAAGATTTCTTATTGGTTCGGTGAGGGTCGCCGGGCTGTTCGAGTCAGAGACACGTCAGCTTGTGTGAGTCGTTGAGTAAGTAACGTCACACCGCTTCTGGAAAGCCAGCCAGCCGTGGATTGAGCCCCTCTCCCTGTTCTACTTTGTTCTCGCATCGCCCCTTGATGAGACTCTGCTGTGCTCTCATGAGCCCACTCCAGAGGGGATCACTGGTACACATATATACAGTTGGGAAAACACCACACGGCCGCGCTGGCGTAGCACGTGGGAGCCAGACAAACCACTGCGCCCTCTGGACAATCAATTGCTCATCTCCGCTTTCATGGCACCACCTACGCCGCCCCACAGAGCGGAGCGGCCGAACGCATAAAAGTGGTCCCCGAAGAGGAGTCAGTGATCCTTTATCGTCCCCGTTTCTTCTCGCAGTACCTTCGAGAGGAGGGGGCGGAGGGCAAGCGAGGAAAGCATATGTGGTCACTTCCTGCGACACGTGGTTGGGGGAACGCGACTAGAGATGTGAACGGGTGAAAAAAAAGTACGGTAGTTGGATGTGTCTAGGGGGGGGGAAAGACGACATAAAACGGCAACGAACGTGTGATTAGTGTGGACTTGACAGCAAACAAAGCAGGCAAACAACATCAAAACCCTATATATACCCTTTTTATCAAGGTAACAAAGACAATAACGGTCATGGGCGAGGTGAAAAACGTCCTGCTCGTCGTCGGCCTGAACACGCGCCGCCCAACGGGGTTTCGGGCCGTCGACTGCGCGAGCAAGCACCACCACCACCACCACCACCACCACCACCATCACGATCGACATCTGAAAATGCTTGATGGTCCGGCCACGCCCACGACCGGGCATGGAGCGCCGGCCCCCGCCGCAGCATCCTTCCTATGGCCGCCGCCATCGTGACCGCGTCCTTGCTGCTGGCGGGCAGGGCCTTGCCGACGACCTCCTCGATCTTTTCTCCGAAGGCGGAGACCGCCGCGGCGTACGCCCCCGCGGCTAGCAACACCTTCGCCGAGCAGTACGACCGACGGTCGCGGCGTGATAGAGCGGGGGCCAGTTCCGCAGCGGGAGCGTCGCCCAGTGCTGCCGCCTCTCCGGGCCTTCCGCGCCCAGCAGCATCCAGAGGATCCTCGGGTGCTCGAGCTGGGTCGCGTACTTCATGGCTTCGGGGACGGCGGCGGCGCCGCCGACCACCTCTAAACGCGTCTGTTGTTGATGGGAAGGGCGGGATTAGCCTTAACAAGGTGTCGGAGCCTGCACACAGAAGCCTTACCCCAGTCGGTGTGTGCGAAGACAGCAACTGCCCCGTGTACCTTTGCAACGCTCTGGCTACTTCTCCGCGGTCCGCTCCCTCGTTCATGCTAGGAACCATAATTTCATGATTGGAAACCCCTGGAACTGGCCCCCAATGTCCCCGTTAGTTGTATTGCGCCGCACCCATTTGGTTCACCCGCACGCTCCCTGCTCTCGCCCCCCTTCCTATCGCCTATCGCACGTGACACCTGGCCAGGTCGCCTGATAGGCTGCGATGTTCTTCGACCTGAACGTCCCTGTACTTCGCTCCTCTGTGGAACGGGATCGGAGTGCTCTTTTGTCGCAGCTGTTCGAACGTGAGTACTGCAATGTTCCCCTCGCTGTCGATCATCACCCCACAACCCATTGCAGTAGTCTCCACCCTGCTGAAAACGATATTATACATAAGTCAATGTAAGGTGTACACGTGCTTCCACTCTGTTATCCCGCTGTGCCCACTAGTGTATGTGCTAGTCTCGCTGGCTGGTGGGTAGTTAGTGCTGTAAATAGTCTACAGCCACACCAGGGACGAGTTTTTTTACAGTCTCGGGTGACTGCTTGAAGAACGAGTGGTCTAAGGTACACCTACCTGCCAACAGCAACAGCATTGTCATGCGACAACGAGCCAGAGCCAGACAGGCACGACCTCGCCCCCCGAAATTCTCAACTCACGAGCTGCAAGGATAGTGAGCTTTTCTGTGCTATGTATGCACGCAACGTGTTCGCTGCTTGCTACAATAGCGGGAGACCACCAAACGTACAGCATAGCCAGCGGAGAGCCGCGCGGTCCACAGCAGTCTCCACAGCGCACAGTGTAGTTACAGCAGTTACCGCCTCTTTCTCCTGCGCGATGCGCTTCCTCGCTAAAGTTTGGACGCCCAGAGCAACACCATGGTTTCCTGTTGGTTTGCTGTGTTGGCGGTGGGCTCGCAGCCTCGTAAAAAACTGCTACAAGTACAACGTAGTACATCGAACTCCGCCGACTATAGAAGCCTGATTGAAACCATTAGACTAAGTCAGCGGCTGATTTGTCTAATGGTTTGATTTTGGGTTCTATTATTAGAATTAGTCGTGGGTTACCAATGTTTGATTTCGGCTTCTATACGATATACAACCTGTTCAACATGCAAAGGGGCACCATACCAGACGAACAGCCGAAAGTCGGCATAGTGCGTACCGAATCGCAGCTGGGGCTTCCGGGGTTAAACGTGTGCTCCGCAGCAAAGAGCGTCTTGGTTCATGACGATGCGACTACATACTTTGCCCCCGATTGTCTGGATTCGACCCTTCCTGCTTCCCAGATGGCTACGACTGCGTCGCCTTGAACACCATCATCTACGGCCGCCTTCCCAAACAGCACGTGAGTGTCGTGGCTTTTTTGACGTTGATGTTGGTGTTAAGGGGTTGTGCTGACGATGATGATGATGTATGCTGCTGCTGCTGCTGCTGCTGCTGCTGCTGCTGCTGCTGTCACCTCTGCTGGCGTGATGCGCGCACCCCCCGCTTAGCTAGCTAGTAGACATCGGTCCAAGGAGAGCAATCGACACCTGGATGCGATCTGACCATTCCAGCCTCTTTTGATGCCACCTGCTTGTTCGGCCCAACCCATCTGCCACATTCCCACCGACTCAAGCTTCGATGGGCACAGAACCAAGGACAGGAAGACACAAACACACGCCACGCGATGCCGTAACACGCAGACTGTCCAGCGAGCAGCCCACCTGTAGTCGATAGAATCGAACCTGGTACTGACGAAACTGCAACGAGTGCCAACCCGTTTGAGATTTGCCATTTTTTTGCGCAAGGCCAACATAACGCCCCCTTATCCATTCCCCACGCCGCCATCCCTCGCAACCCACACGCAAACTCGCCGAAATCGTGGCGGGCGGGGTACAGCGGTGCACTGTCGAGCGCATCCACTTCGACCCCGAAGCGGCATCAGCCGTCGGCAGCCGCCGCCGAAGGCGAAGAAGAACGTCCCGAGAACCTTCCTTGCTCCGAGCGACAGCCCGGGGCGGTGGTGCCGCTGCGCCTGGACACGGGGCTACGGCGGCGAGTGGCCCCGACCAGGTTTCACGCCTCACGGTGGTGCTGGAGAGCCCGGCGGACGCGCAGTCCCTGGTGAGTTTTTTGGCTTTGTTCTGGTTCGAGAGGGGCAGAGGGGAGGGGGGCGAGGGAGGGACCGATGGCCTGTCGGGCACGGCCCCGTCTACATAAGTGCATGGGCTCGCAAAGCGATCGGGTAGGCCGGTGCGGGGCTGGCGGGAATGCTGCCTATATGTAGGTTAGTCGGTACCCGTCCGGGGGAACACGCTCGAAGGGTAGTTTGTCGCACTGCGTTTGGGTGTTGGTGCGCCCTGCCATGTCGTCCGGAGCGGTAGGGAGACGTTGGCCCGAGTTTCGAACGTGTGTTGCTTTGGGCAGAAACCCTGAGGGTGGAACGAAGGCGTGCCCCGCGAAATGATGGTACTTGGAAATTTATATTGATGTGTTGAGTCTGAAATCGACAGCAGTCAGTAGCGTATTAAGGCTTCGAGAGTTTGGCTTTCTCCTTGAGTGTTGGGTCTTGAGAGTATCAGAAGGCACGTGTCGTTTGGATGCTTCTTTGCGTCTCTGGCTGCCGAGGAGGAACGGTGCGTGATTCTGGGTGTGGGGTTCATGCCGCCTGCGCGAGGCCGAGAGGTTTCGATGTTTGAGCCACTCGCCGCTCGCTCGCTATTTTAGAGAATCCGTCTTCTTCGGTGGCGTTTGGGTCATTAAGCTAGCCGGCAGGTGCCGAGGAAAGGGTTGGATGATGGATGAAAAGGAGATCACATTCAAAGGGGTGGAAATTGAATCCATACAGAGCAAAGCGTGCAAGGCGCGCCAACAGCACCACACCCCGCTCGGGGTTTGTAGCGGGCTTTTTGTGGGCCTGGCTTTTTCAAACCCGCGCAACAACAACAACCATCGCAGCAACAATAGCAGTATCAGCAAAGACAATCAACGCCATAAAGAGCAAAAGCATCAACATCGACAACGACAGGAGCGGCAGTAACAGCCGCCAGGTAACAAAAGCCATAGCCACAACAAACAACACCATGGACAACGACAACGACAATGACAACGACAATGACAACGGCATCAAATACAACACCCTACGCCAAACAGACTGCCGGAAGCGAGGCCCTTCAGTCGTACGACGTGGTGGCTGCCGTGCCCTGCTGCCAGAGGTCCTTCGAGGTCCTGTGCAAGGACAGCGATGTGGACGTCATCTCCCTCCCCTCCGGCAAGCGCCTTCCGTTCAACATCAACAAGAAGAATGTGGGTGGTGCAGTTGTTGATGTTGACGGTGGAGATTGTTACCGCAAGTCGAAAAAAATATCGCACCCCCTGGACCGATTCTCAACGCTCGATTTCTCCACGACGGAGAAGATGTCGAAAATGAAGTAAGCATACGTTTTCGGAAAGCTCTCGACGAGACGCTTCCAACACCGCCTTTTTCGGCACCATCACTGCTGTTATTCCAGCCGATATATGGAGCTCCGAAAATCGGTCCAAGGAGTGTGATATCTTATTGTTGTTGTCGTTGTTGTTGTTGTTGTTGTTGTTGTCTTCACATTAAAATCGTTCCGATCTCTCTCTACCCAGTACCTTCATATGTCCGTACTGATGCGACACTTGACGCGGTCGATTCCCGTGGTCACAGGCTAACTTACCCCTTGTGCAACCCACGGAATAGAGAGCGTTCCGTTCAACATGACCAAGCAGAAAGTGGAGGAGTCAAAGGTGGCGGAATTTATGGCCGTGGTGGTGATTGTTATCGAGCGGGGAAGGGAGAGGGGTTCCGCTTACCATCGCCAAGAAGAAAGTGGATTGTCCAAGGTGTTGCTTGTGGTGGTGGTTGTTATAGAGGGGGGGGTGGTTTCGGGATTAGGCGCCCGCAGAGTCAGATGTGGCTGCCCGTAAAGGTGTAGTAGCACGGTAGCGTTGGTGAGTCAACCTCTGAAAGAGCATGCTTGAATCCGCAAAGCACCCTGATTTTCGATCCTTTTATGTGTTGCGTTTACCGCTGAACACTCCACTGCGTCTCTTTGCTACTGCTGCTGCTGCTGCTGCTGCTGCTGCTGTCTTGTTGGATGGGCTGCTTCTCGCTTCCTGCTTGTTGCGCAGACTGATGCAGCGTTGTCCAGGGGAGCCGTGTTCGAGGTTAGCTACAGCCAAGCTATTCAGAGTGAGCAGTAGTACCGTTTGTGCCTTGAGAGTGTTGACACGTCGCAGGAGCGAGCCGTAAGGGGGGGTGGGGACGAGAGAGCGGGGGATGAGACCCATCTGTGTTTCGGGTCAACCACACGCCACATATGTCGCCAAAAGCCGTGCGTGAGCACCCTTTCGAGGGAAAAAGGCTCTTGGCAAATGAAGACTGGCTTAGCCTCGCCGAAAAGAAACGAGAACAACCGGGGTCTGTTGGGACTCCCATTTTCCTGTTGTCCCGCTCAAGACTACGGACATCTTGTCCCCCGATCAGCTACGCTTCCTCTTTTGTTGCGCTTTGGTTTGCTCCCGTCCATGTGTGTGCTGTTTTTTGTTCCCTCTTTGCTTGGGCGTTTTTGTTGTCATCGTTGTGCGGAGGTGCGCCATATGTTCCCGGCCCCAACCGGCTGCTACTGTTGTTGCTGCTAGTGGGTTGTTGTTGTCTGGCGTGGTTACTGTTGCGTCCACTGTGAATACGACCTGCGTTATTCTAACAGCTTCCGCACGCGCACAACTCCAATGCGTTATTATCGAGTTTCGGTATTTAGTTGCAGGCTCTGCAACGCATGCATCTTGTATGCGTGCTTTCCCCCCCCTTTTTTCTGCATTGTTTATCATTGGTTTGGGATTACATGTCCGAGTATGCCCAGTACATGGGTCCCTATGTAAGTCTGCGTCAATTTTGTCACCGCGAGGAAACAGGGGGGCGTTACTCGAAACCGCCTCTGCCTCAGATTTGTCCACACGGGGACCCTCCGCCCGGCCGTAACGTTACGCCAATCAACAAACTCTCCCGCATTGTACCTGGGAATTTTTCATCTTTTTCATCTTTTTTATCTTGTTTTGTTTGGGAAATATGAGTATGTACGTCTAAACGGTGCCGTCGTAGACATATTTTGTCTTTCGTTTTCATCCATTTGTCTTCCTTTGCTACAACGAGCGTGATGTTTTTTTTGCCGGCCCGCCTTCTTTCCCTCTGCCTCTCGATGTCGGTGGACTGTTGTCCCTTTCCGACTCTCGCACCCGCGGGCGCGGGGTCGGTGACGGTTTGCATCGCCGTAGATTCGTCGAATCGGAGATTCCTGCTCTCAAACTGCGAGGCGCTGGTCACCTTCACGAGGGGTCGAGGGATCCTTCTAGCGAGGTACAATTAGAACAAAAGAGGCAAACTGCCAAGGTTGAGGGGGGGGGGGTACTCATAGCCGTAGTCGTTAGACCATTTGACATCGCATCCCTATACAAAACCGGGACGGAGAACGCCGGGTTCTCGCCGGACCAGGCTCTCACATCACCAAGCGAGTTGGGGGAAGGGTAAAACATCACAGGGGGACTTGTGAGGCACTGTAGATTTGAAGTCCTCACTGCAGATGGCGTATGAGTAACGTTTGAACCCTCCGCATGATGGTCAAGCAGTTGGATACAGTAGTGCCAAAATTCCCTGATTCGCGACCCAAGCAGGGTGTTGCTGGCGTCTACTGCGGATGGATGCGATTGGACTTCTTTCCTCCAAGCATTGCGTTGAGAGGTCTAAGAGAGCAAGCAGCATAGAGGTTCCAACGACAACCTCCCCCCCCCGTCAATGATCAACGTGCTGTTGTTCGTCTCGAATCGAGCAGCGGGGCTGAGACGTGGCTTAACTGCCGCTCGCCGCACGACGTGGCCAACCTGGGGCAACTCCTGGGGCTGTCGCAGGAGCAGTCTCTTCGTGCTGTGTCCGACACACCGCTGGCTGTTCTCCGGCGAGCGGAAGCTCGTAAAGGCAGGCGAGAGACAGCGAGGGGCTTTGCATTATGGCCTTGTCTTGTCGCCTGCAGATGGTTTGTTGCCTGCAGATGCTTTCAAGGGGTATTTGTGGTATTGTTTATTCCTGTAGCACCTGCAAGCAATACCGGCAGTGAAGGCCCACACAAACCCATACACTCCCATCGAAAGCTTCCGCAGACAGCAAACCTGCTTAAGGCCCACTCGAACCGAGCATTGTGTGGGACTTGTCTCTGCTTTTTTGTCTGCAGACGCTTTCAACGGGTATTTCTATTGGCTGTCCCCATGAAAACAATTTCCTTTGCAAAACAATAGCGGCAGCAAAGGCCCGCATAAAAACCCAACGAGTATACCCGTCGAAGGCTTTCGCAGAGAACAAACCTGTTGAGGCCCACGCAAATCCTTGAGGCCCACGTAAATCCCCCAACAAGACCTGCATGGTTTGTGTGGGCCTTAGGCAAGCTTGTTGTCTGCGGATGCTGTTTGTGTTGCGGGGTATTGTGCGGGCGTTGCCTGCCTTGTTGTCTGCGGATGCTTTCAATGGGTATCGTGAGGATTGATTTGTGCGGCCCATAGCCACAGGGTGTGGGTGTGTCTGTTCTGAGGCGCTTGGAACGGCGGCGAGTTGTGCATTGTGTTTAGTTTGCCTCTCTTGGTTGCTCACGATATGTACGGAACTGATGTGAATCTATATGCGTTTGTAGGGGTGGTTACATTGTTTGTTTTGACCCCCTGCGGTCGCGGAAGGCGTCTTTTTTCTTGATTTACCCACATGGAGTAATTCGACTAGATGCAGGTGGGTCACAACAACTGACGAGTCGGAGCAACAAGCATGCATGCCGAAAATAAGCATATTGTGCTGGTATGACTTTTTATGTGAAGACAACAGCAACACCTCCGAAGCCACCATCACGCATTACTCTCTGAGGAAGACCTCACGGAAGGGTGTATCCCCCCCCCTCACCGTCGACCATGCGCAGATTCCGCGGAGCCACCGTCAGTGGCGGCGACGACCCCGCGCCAGCGCAACTGTTGGAGTCACTGCAAATCCCCAAGGAGTTCTACTTGCCTGAGGCGGCGGCGGTTGTCGGTCCACAGGGAGGGAGCAAGGGCAACTCGGGTGGGCAGGACGCGGACGTCGAAGAAGACGTCGAAGAAGAAAACGACGATGACGAAGACGGGGGGTTCTTGTCGTTTGGTACCTCGGCAGAGATGGATGTCGACCCGTGAAGTTTTTTTTTGTTTTGAGGAGGATGAATGTTGACCCGTTATTTTTTATGTCCGACGGGAGTGGTTGGTTGTGGACATCGAGATGGATCGTTTTGAGATGGCGAGCGTGGGGTTCAAAGGGCGTTGAGGTGAATAATGGGGTTCTCTCGGAGCGCTTGGAAACAGGAAATTATTCAAACGGCAACCCTCTTGGTACGGTGTATAAGCACTGCTGTGTGTGAGCCTCTCTTTTTCTCCTGCTTGTTGCACGTTCTGCGGTTTCTCGTCCAAAGACGGAAATCGAGTATTTCAAGACTGAGCAAAGAAGACACGCCAGACCCTTTCGAAGTGTTATCGCTAAGGTTTGTCTCTGGCTTTCGTTTCTGCGGAGGTCGGTGCGGTCGACAATCAGCGCAGAAAACGGGTGGTTGCACTTGGGGCCATTTGGCCCATGGCCGGTGCTCTCGCTTTTTTCGACGCGAGAAACTTTGTCGTTAGGACACGGGTAGAAATCGTGCCCACATCTTCGTGGCTACGATGCAATGTTGATACGAAGTCCGTCAACAGCTGGTCAATTCGTCCCTCTCCCTTTCTTGGCGTCTTCCTGACAGAGAGGGCATCGCGGCCACCCCAAACCAAACCAGAACACCGGTGCTACCATTCATTTAGCTGGATCCTACAAGAAATCGGCTTTCGTTCTCGCTACTGCTGTAGTCATGACGGTATCGCGAATCTCTGACGTTCCCATATTAACGTGCCGCCGTCTATAGCGTTTGGTACGACAAGTGAAAAGCGTCGCGACGGCTACGCCGCCTAGCTTCGTATTTTTGCTGCATCACCAGGTATTATGTGCACCTCTGTTGTGCCGACTCCGACACCAAAACTGCGGCGGTAAACGACATTTTTTTTTTTCATACTTAATTGCAGACGCGGGATATCTACACTTTGAGACATGACGACGCATCTCGTGTTGCTTTCCAACTTCACTCATCGGAATCGCCCGCGGAGGTGGGAACGTTTAATTTTTTCTCTCGCGTTTCTATGCCGACCACGGGAAACGTGGGGGGGGGGATGGCAGAAGGGGTAGTAAGGGGACAAGTCATCAATACCAAGGAAACCTTCTTCTTCAAAACATTTTCAGCACCTTCTAAGCTACGATGACGAAAACCTGGAGCAATATCTGACCATACAAACAAGTTCATTCAAAGAGAGGGAGGCAAACAACCGCATGCATACAGGTTCTCAATCGGCATTTTCATCACTCGCTACTTTTTTACTCGCTGCTACGACGTTTGCACCTCGTGCGTCGTCTACCATTGGGGCGTCTTCCGACCCCCTCTCGTCACCCGCACTCAGACTACTCCCGGTGATGGATTCTGCGATGGAATCGCTGACGACTGCCTCGAAGCGCTTCTTCTGCACCATGAGGTAGCGCTGGTGCTCCTCGTTCGACCTTCGACCGGGCTCGTGCCGCCGCGACTCCATTCTCTCCACGTGCCGAACCTGTACAGCATATTCGTACCGGAGGGTATGCACCGTCCACGCTCGAGTGTTTGTGTTGTGTGAGTATCGGAATGGGGTGGTTCTTATTGTCGAAGAGGAGCAGTTGGGCAGAGCTGGCATCTCACCTTTTGAGTGGGTCTAGGCTTGCTTGCTCTATGATGAGGGCCGAAAAGAAAGGTGACCGAGGGAAGAGGGGCAGAACAACGCATCGTCAACTCATTTCCCTACCTATACTTATCATCGGTCCAACAGCGATCGTTAGTAGTGTTTCATCGTCAGACATCACTGGTCCCTACATTTGTCGCGGAATGGGCGCTTTTCCTACCGCGAGGTTTTTCCTGCCCCCGTGGTGACTGCACCGAAGCGAGAGAGAACTGGGTAGTCGTGAAAGAATAATCATTTTAGGAGCGCTCGTTTCATATTTAGTTCGACCTGAAGGACACAGCTTGCAGGCGCAACACTGCATCAAGAGGCGTGCGGCCCTGTAAGACGCACGGAGTTTTTTTCGTCGAACAGCAGAACACCACGTGCGAACCGCAATACTATGGTCTTCATCAGCGGATGAGTATTGGGGGAGTAGGTGGGGCATCCATAAAAGCCCTTTCAGTTTCGCGGGAAGAGGGTTGTGGCGCATGGTTCCGAAACATGCAGCTTGGCGGTTTATCCAGATAACGTATTATACTGTAGTCGGAACTTGACACTAGGCGACACTGGGCAGGGTTTGGCGTTCGAACCAGAGAAACGTAAGCTTCGCCCGAGGGAGAAGGATAAGAAGAAAGGGAGGGAGCGAAGGGGGCAATGCTACAGGTTATTTTGTCACAGTTTCCACACCGGAAGGACGTCGTGCTTTGCTCGGCGTCCCTCGTGGGAACAAAGCGTACCCTCTGTCATGTATTTCGTGTGTGACTTTCACACTTCGACACGACAAGCACATTGTTCTGTACGCGAGTTTGCCATTGGAGTTCCGGAGTTATTAGTCTGTTATTTCCTTCTTGTCTTCATGGAACAGGTTTCGACGACGCAAATGCGATTCTTCGCTGAGAACAAGGGCAGACGAGATACTTGGGTAGAGGTTAGAACTACTTCAAATGTGAAGAAAACACGAAGAAACCACAACGACAATATCAACTTTTTCAAGGCAGCTGGTTGCAAAAGTTGTTCATTGATTGCCTCACCCCCTTTTGGAGCGTCTCATCCTGCTGCTGAAGCCGCTTGGTGATGCTCTCCAAACTAAACCCGTCCAATAGGCGCTCCTCCAGGGCCTCGAAAGGGTCCTTCTTCTTCCTCCTGTCTGCACGCCGGTCCCTCGCCCTCTTGAGCCCGCCGATCGCGCCGCCGGCTCCGCCCGCAGCAAACCCTCCCGCCGCCAACGCAAGCGTGTTCGAGGAAGGCATCCTCGACAACCCGCCCCCACACCCGCCCCCACCCCCCAGGCTGGTGTTTCTCTCTGATGCCCCGCCTACGGGCCTCCCTGCCCCTTCCAGCGCCAGCTCTCCGCCCATTTCAGACGCGTTCATGCCGGAAGCAGCCCCACCGGCCGGGGTCGACATGCGGCTAGCGGCCGGAGATCCGGATGGGGCACCTCCCTCTGCAGTTGGAGAGGAAACGGAGGGTTCGTGGCCCGCTTCGGTACCAACCGAAAGGGCTGCTCCCGGTTCCGCCGTGGCTGCTCTGGCGTGGCCGCCGCTGGCGTCTCCCTTTGGTTGGCACACGTCATAGCGGGAGAAGGCGGCTCGATTTCACCGTACAACTTGGCGGGGATGAAGGTGCAATTATGTTTCCACGCGCAGAGTTTTCTACAGTCAAGTGCTGCTTGAGGGAGCTAGTAGTGTTCGGACGCTGCTGTGGTGGTCTCAGGAGGCGGATCGCGGTTTTCTAGAAGCCTTCATTCCCAATCAATTCTTGAATGATTGGTGATTGCCAAGCATAGAGAACGTCGTTGTGAGAATGGTAGGACACGCGTCTGGTCCTGCCCTGTCTCCCCTATAACAAGATGTGGCCACATGTACCTCGCTGGGGGGCCTCGCGTACGCTTTTCTACAGCATCTCGGCGAATACGCTGCACCAACAAAGCGCTGCCAGCCCGTCAATATGAGGGGTGAGGGTCGGGCCGCGGGTTAGCACAACCCCCCAGCTTACACATTCACTCGACCGACAAGAGTCGATGCAGTTCAACCGGCCGCGATAAGTACGTCTCATCCAAACTTTCAACGCACGCGAGGTCGCTTCTCACTACAGCTGAGGCCCCGAGAGTATGTTTTACCTATTTCAAGGCGTTTCTGTGGTGGGTGGAGATCATCCGTGTCCAAGAGTGTAGAGTAGACAAACACATATATATATATATACACCGCTCCATTTTGAGAGTGATAGAGCACCCTCCTAGACCGACCTTCGTTGCTCGATTTTCTCCGCGGACCAAGAAGGTACGAAAATCAGCTGATACGTCTAACCCTAAGGCATGCTCTCGACGAGATCGTGTTCCGTCATCCCCTCCCCTTTCGGCAGCGGCATGACACACTCTCGATCTTGGAAAAATCACGCTTATGAAAATCAGGTCTCGCGGGGGCATGGACCACTCGGGTACGCACCCACGCGCGCGCAGCAGCAGCAGCAGCAGCAGCAGCAGCAGCACACCCACCTGAAGCACTTCGGTCTGAATTTCACGGTTCACGGTGCAGAGGCAATAGCGCCCGAGCGTAACCTCCGCCTCGTCCGTGGTCGTGGTCGTGGTCATCGAGGCGGAGGAAGACAGAGAGCGAGAGGAACAGGTGCCGATCGTCCCCGCGGGAGGGGGCGGCGTGAGCGGGTGCGCCGTTAGGTAGCGGCAGCGGGAGCACATGGGCGACACGAGGGACCAGCCGTGTCCCTCGTCACCGCCTCCGTCTTCGCCTTCCCCGTTGCTGTCGCTGGAGTCGCCCGTGGTTCCTCGGCTGCTGTGGTCGTCGGCCTGAGACCATATCGTCCCCAAGGGGCCCCACCTGCACCATGTACGGGGACACAGACACACAGCAAGCAGTTTCCGCCCAAGCAGCAAGCAGACGCTAGATAGAGCATTCCGGGCTTTTCCTACCATTGTTCGTTTGTTGGAGAAGCGGTGGCAAGAGACAGGACTGGTTCGGTTCCCTTGGCGTTGTCCTTGGTGTCTAACGCCTCAAGACAGGGTGCGCCGAGAATTCTTCGCCCCCCCAATATAGACGAATAACTGGTGTTGTGTGCTTTGGAACGCAACCATGACCTTGAAGCTAGACAAACTAGATGGTTTTGTAGGTGCGGGAAAAGGCGTACCACGCCCCCCATGGGCGGCATTTAAGACATACCTTTGCTTCCACTCCCTCAATACCCGAGCGTGACTCGCGGTCACCCCTCTCTCGGCCCCCGCCCTCGCAAAGTCCGTCATGGCCTGCAGCACGTCCGTGCCCCACGACCCCGCGCTCAGCCAAGCAGAACCCCCGCCGCCGTCCCCAAACCCGTCCCAGCTCCCTCCCAGGCTCACCCCGCTTCGAGAGTACCCTACCACTCCTCCTTCTTCCCCTCCCCCGGCGCCCCCCCCACGGTGGGGGGAGTGAGACGCGCTTGAGATGGCTCTGGACGCGGACTCCGACACGAAGTGCGTCGTTCGGACGCGGATCTCGCGGGGGAAGGCGGCTCCGCTCGTGAGGCGGTCCTGCGGCCGCTGCTTGTGGACGTAGGTGCGGTGGCCGCTCCTGCGGGCTTCGGATCGCTTCAGGCCCCGCTTGGCCTTCCGCATGAGGGCGGCGGAGCGCTCTTCTCCGGGTCTGTTTAGTGGTTTGCGGTTGGGTTCATGCGGGAATACCGACCGTGCCCACAAAAAAGGGGCGGTAAAATGGAAGGGTAATTTATGGGTTGGAATGAGTATATATTTTGCCCGGGGTTCTGTAGATAAAAAGGCGTCTTCGTCGGCTGGACCCTATACGACGAAACGTTTGACAAAGTCGATCTGGGTGGCCCTAATCCAACAAACGAGTAGCCAGTTGCTGCAGCGCGCATACAAGTAGCCATGAAAACCATCGGAGTTGTGCTGGTGTACGTACGGCGCTAGGAGGCTGAGCAGATCCACCTCCACGGAACTCTGAAAAATGCTCACGAGACATCACAATTCGTACGCGTGGTTGGGGTCGCCTGCGCAATAATATGCCGAATGGGACCAGCGCAAGCAAGCTCAAACACTTGTTGGTGCAAGCCATGACAAGTTAGTGATGAGAAAGAGAGAATGGGTCTGGGTGTGTAGTTTGTGACGGCGGTTGTGACGGGCTGATGAGGGTCTCCCTCGTCAACCGTTGGGCCTTAGCATCCACATCTTATCCCGTGGTATGTGAGATGGGTGTTGGTTTGGAGCCAAAACAGCATCAGGGAAGGAAACCCGCGGGCATGGCGAAAAACCATGGAGATCGCCCGTCCGCACTGAACAGATTTTCGATAGGACCGACCGTACACGATCGACGATTGATTCACGGAACACCATCATCACCATCCGAACCGAAAACATCGTTCTCCCACCTGAGTTCATCGGCATCAGCAACCTGCAGCTTGAAGACACCTCTCCGGCCCACCGGGTGGTGCTTCTGGGCGGTCCCCCTCTTGCCGCTGGCGCTGCCGCCGCCGCCGCCGCCGTTGCTTCCCGCGGAACGGTTGTTGTGCGACAGGGCTTTCAAGACAACCGAGGCGTTTTCGCTGACCCTCGTCATGTAGAAGAAGTCCTGGCGAGGGGCGGGGCGAACGGGCGCAGGAAGAAGAAACCACTAAGCAACGACTTCAGCGAGTATTGACAGTGGGAAACCAAATTGTTCTGACGTTTGAAAAACGTTCGCGTCGCTGGCTTGTGATTTACACCGTAATTTTTTTTCTGATACGTATGACTTTGTATGATTTCAGAGTTTCGTCTCAGACAAACAATAGAGAATCGAGGTGAAGATACTCTCTACCTTCTCGGCGTTTCTCCGTCACTCCAGGCCAGGATTGCGTTGGGCAAACGCTGTCATGTGACACCGGACACTTCAAAACCCTTCGAAGAGAGCTACATGCGAGCGTGGGGGGCGTCCGGACCAAATTTACAAGCAGTAGCGTTTGCAGGACATCATGCGCCCCCCCCCGCTCCCCTCCTCGGTTCAAAGAGGCCAATGGTCTAACCACTACGGCATGCACGACTGTGAGTATGAGTACCCCCTCCTCCTCGGTTCAAAGAAGGAAGGAACGATTGACCATCGGTGATCGATCCTGTGGGAACAATGCTCCATCCTCTCGAGAGTACGCGCGGTCAGTGGTTTAGGCGCAAAACATGAGAACGCCGCCGTCTTCGGGTAAGACCGAAAAAATGCGCCCTCGGACGCACGCCCCATTTGTTCCCCCGGACACACCTGCTCGAGGTAGACGTAGTCGAGGTTGGAAACCTCCTTCCCATCCTTGCCCAGGAGGGACTGCCCGTCTGAGCGGACCGGTCGTACGGTCCAGCGGCAGTTGACGATCGCGCTCTTGTTCATGGCCCTGTGGTAGGGTGGTGCGGGGGACGTTACTTTTCGATGGCGAACGAAGGAAAATGACGTCATGTTCGTGCATGCCAGGTTTTCCAAAGACAAGAGGCGGGGGGGGCGGGGAAGATGTTGTTGGTTCATGGGTTCCTTCTGCAAGTCTCGTGCTGGTAAATACGTAAGTTTTGGACTGTTTGCGCTCTTGAACCATGACTGCGGGGGAATTGTTAGTTCCGTTTGCCCTGAAGGTGGACGGGACACAGCAATATCGTACGATACGAGTTAACTAGCAGGACGGGTGGGCGGTCGATCATGATCGCGCCCTGTTCGCTTCCTCAGCGGGCTGCTTGTACCAAGCGCTATGCAGACGGGAAATATGCCGCGAATATCGACTCCGCGACGGTTTAGGGTTGGAGAGGCTGCCGGTGGGAATGATCCCACAGAACATGCGCGACATTGCTCCTGTTGATGAAAATGACTGATATTGAAAACTGTGACGGAGAGAGGGTTTTAAAACACTCTCCTTAATTTCTGTACGTCACGCCACTGCAAGGCATCCGTCGTGGCCGTTCTGTGCGAGCTACGCCACCCGCACCGATTTAGAGAAAATTGACACATCCTTTGGCACACTCTATCTACGCGTACTTCTTTCGTGCCCAATGGATCGACGCATGCGCATGCCAAGAGGCCTAAGCACGCCCACGAGAGATTTTCCCTCCCAGCACGTATCTATCACCAATCGGAAACAAACCTCAGGAGAGTCTCGTTGGCCGTCCCGCCGGCGCCCCCGTGCTTGGAACCCGCCGCCTTAAACGGGTACGGCACCCCCACCGGTCGATTCGCATCTGTGTTTCCCCCGCCCACGGCTGAGCTTACCCTTCCAGCTCCGACAACCTCTCCCCCTCCCCCGCCCCCGCCCCCGCCCCCGCCCCCAGGAAGAAAACTAGACTCTGCCCACCCACCCCCTCCACCAGGACTGTCACGGGCATTCCAGCCTGTGTTTCCCCTTCCAGAGGAGGCCCCGTGCGTCGAAACGGGGCGACGCGTGCCGGGGCCGGGAGTACTCTCTGATGTTCCCGGGCGGGAGTGTGCTGAGGTCATCCCAGACGTGTAAGCGACAGAATGTGCGGAGGGAGAGGGCGAGGTCGGATGTACGTCTCTTGTCGAGTGTCCGGGAATCGCGCTGGTGCTATAATCAAGGGTTTGCTTTTCAACTTTGCCTTGCACCTCCTTCCAGACAACGACTTCAGTGCAGACGTTTGAAGCGCCAATCACTTGGGAACAACATATTCACCCTCCTCACTCTGAGCCTTCTCTCGCCCCCCCCCCCAACCACCATACCTGTTTGGTGGGCCATCGATGATGCCGCCGCGGCATCGTTCGGATCTATGACAACGGTCGGCAGCATGCCAGGGCCGTGCACGCGGGCGCCAAGGACGCTCCCGTCCCTCCACGTTGGCTCGCCGGGCCCCGGAACGATCTGCAGCCACACCGGCTTTCCGTAGAAGATGGACCGGTAGGACTCCGGATCCTCGAGATCGATCATCTTGAAGGTCACCTTTTCTTGTTGTTTGGGGGCAAAACGTTCCACGCAATAGAGCATAGTTTTGGGAGCAAAACGTTCGACATAATTCAAGTACTAGACGAGTCTTGCTGCTTTGGGGGGAAAACGTTCGACGCAATGGAAGAAATATTCAGTAGCCTTTTTAGGAGTTGACATGGAAGGAAGCCATGGCATATCTTGTTTCGGGGACAAAACGTATTGGGGTTTCCGTGAAAACCAAGGAAAAACGGTCCAAGGCCACAGTGCGGGTACGGAGGTATGCGTCTGCCGGCGGAACGACCCGAGCTATATCGAAAGCTACGAAAACCAAATCGCAGATTCGGAGGGTAGGGGAGCCGAACGGCTCTCTTGGTGCCAACGGCTAATTGATACGTGTGAACCTAAGGGCGGGCCGTTTTCGCACGACGAGGCCAAGGGTGGATGGAGCACAGCCTCGGCTCGTAGGGCCAGCTGCATCGGTGTTGCAAACTATTGTCCCGTGCTTTTTAATGGATTGCGAGTCGTTTGAAGGCGTACTTGGCTTGAGGGAGGGATGGTGGGTCGGTGCTGGTCTGTTCATCACCTGGTTGTTCTTTTGGAGCTCATGCAACGGTATCATGGACACCCCGCCTGTCTCCATGTCGAGCGACATGAAATACCCATTCTCCCCCTGGACCGCCTGTCAAAGCATCGACACACGCCGAGCCGAGGGTAACAAGCACGCCCACGAAGACGGCGTCGAATGTTGCAGTGAATCATCACCATCAGCACTGACGCTCATTTCTGAGTCGGAAATTGCGGCTGGACCATGTGATACGAGCTTACCCTGCCCGCCCTTCGGCCCGTCCGGGAGGCCGCGGGAGTAGTTGGCAAAATAGCCGTTCGCCCAAAAACATCCACTGGGAGGAAAAAGTGTTCCCGTTTCGGAGTGCTGCAAGACAACCAACCTATTGTTGTGGGAGCCACGTGTTTTTCGCTGAAGGCTACTGGTGCTCACGGTCACTGCAATATACTGCAGGGTGACGGTACATGCAACGACATCGCAGGATATCGTAGGCAAGGTCCTGGAGTGAAGGTGAAGCGAAGTAGCAGAACCACAAAATGAAGCCGAGAAGCGGACGTGTTCTGCAGAGCTTTGTAGGTCGATATTGGGGCAAATCGCGTGCCTTTGCAAGCCGAAGTCAAACCGAATCAGAATTGGCCAGATTTCGGCTTCTAAATGCCACAAGGTGACCTTGGTACCTGAAACGTAACGTGGAGGCCGTAGTGAAGGCGCAGAGACGGGTCGTGGTTGAGGCTGTCGAGGACTTGCGTCCCCTCTTCCTCCCTGGAGGAAGACTCCCGTTGAATCCCAACCATCGCGTTGAATTTCTGGTGCAAGGACATGGGCCTATCGCCGGCCCGTCCCCATGAGGCCTTCCTTCGCGTAGTGCGGATTTTTCGCCAAGCGGTAAAGAAAGCCATTTCATATATAGGATAAGGAAAAGAGTTCATTACCCATGAAAAGAGTTTGTTAGTCAAACCATGAGGGAGAACGGTTGGGTGTAAGGGAAAGAAAGAGGACTTTCTGTTGTTGTACACCGAAGGTGACGGAGGTTGAAGAGGTGTTCGTTCCTCAGGGCCGGTTCTCTCGCTGTCCCCGATTGACGACTACAAACTTCAAGCCATATCCGTCCACACAACCAACACTCGTCTGACCAAAATGTTGTTTTCCCGTTGTTGCAAGCACAGCAGAGCGGGTTTTGGTGTGGTCGTGTTAAGGGTTCCCGTGCATTCTTGCGGGATCGACGTGCGGCATCGCTGAGAGAGCTTGGTTTACAGGGAAACCGCTGACTGGCGGCCTAGGAGTCGTCGTGCTTCTCAACAGTTGACATGCAAGATACGGTAATATCTCATCGATGAACCCAACCTGCAAGTCTTCTAACCTGCTGTCCACCGTGTCCGCTGGTCCCCCGCCCTCCACCGGCCAACCCGTCCGCTCCTGGGAACAACCCACTCGCCTCCCCCCCACCGCCCCTGAACGACCCACCCTGTTGGATCACGTAGCCGCCCAACAGGCTGCTGCCGCCCCTTCCAAGAGGTGCAGGAGGCCCCTTGCTCGGGAACGCACCGCGCGAGGCAAGCAGGCCTTTTCTCGGGCGTCTGCGCGAACCACCGCCGCCGCCGCCATCCTTTCCCGCGGTGTTTGGCTCGCTAGGTGCGACCGACTGTTGCAGCTGCTCCCCCCCCCCTCCCCCACTCGGTGCCACTGGCTGAGGTTGACGCTGCCTGCTGCCGCCGCCGCCGCCGCCGCCGCCTGCGCTCCGGGCCCTAGCGCCACCGACGTAGAGAACTGAAGCTTCCCTCGAAGAATTCTGGGAATTTCCTTGTTGAAGCGGCTGTTCCCCGGTCCCTGTTGCCACGTGCTGGCAGGAACCTCCCCTCTCCAAAGAGGCCGACGACGTGGTCGCCGTAGCTGGTCGGGGCGAGCGTGACGAACGGGAAGATGGCAGCTGGTGTCCTCGTCGGTTGTCGTCCTCATTGTTGTTGTTGTTGTTGTTGCTCCTTTCGTGAACATTGTCGTCTTGTGGGGAGGAAGACGAGGCAAAGAAGTGCACCCCGACGGTTGTTTGTGATCGCAAGGAGCGATCGAGATCGCCACTACCGCCACCAGAGGACCGCGCCAACAGAGAGTTGGGGTCAGCGAGAGCAGGGCGGTTATGACGCTGTGCGTGGCCTTTTTGCCCCATGTTGGCCCGCTTGTTGGAGTCCTTGCTGTTTTTCGTCCAAGAAATGAGAGTTTTATCGGACAGCAGGGTTGGGGAAATGAGGAGGGGAGTTCCGCAAGGAGTCACTTGTGGGGAGAGGGCACAATCGCGCGCCAGTGCGGTCTCATCAGTACCCAGCTAAAGAACGAAGTTTGGGTTCTCGACGAAAGGAGGAGCCGTACATCCTCGCAATAGATTAACAAAACTCTGAGATACAGACTACCAAGCCAATCCGTTGTCTCGACGTGCACTGTAAGTGGGGTCTTCCGCAACCTGTCTTTTGTCTTATAGGAAAACTACTTACACATACTGGTAGATCCCTCGCTCGTTCCGAAAAGACCTTGGATGTCTCCCCCGCAGCAGGGCGGTAGTGTAAGTCTGGTCTATCGAATATTCCGCTGACGCAGAGGTTTGCGCCGTAGAACAAACCATGTCGACGTGTTAGTCATAGTGTCACGGGGAGGGAGGGGCGCGACGGTGCACGTAGGTACGAGCGTACGAAGCCTGTAGGCGACCCTGTAGGTGTCCCGACAAAGAAAGAGTGTAAGCTTGCTAACTCAAAACTGTATCTTGGCCCTTCTAATCCAACTTACACCTGCACTGCCGTTCACAATGTCGTGGTGAAACGCTACAGGTGCAAACGCTACGATAAAAGTGAGTGACTCTTTGGCGCACTTGAGCAAGGATTTTTACAAGCAACGGTCGTATGGTAACATACGCCGGGTCCCCCAGAAACTATGGTGCCGTTGCTACGGCTGACAATGCTTTGCGCACACCTCATCACACATCACACAGCACCTCAAGCAACGCGTACAGCTGCCGCTGCCAACGACCACACAAAGCAGTAAACCGCTGTTTGCTGGGAAAAAAAGGCGGACGACAAACTCACGTTTGGCAACTGCAGCGAGGGCTGAAGTTCCTTCAGTGCCGGCCTCAGGCTCTGAGGTCGCCTTGCGCTCATCATCAACACTCTCGTCTTCCTCTGGGGACAAAGGCGTCGTGGCGGGCTTCTCCTGCGCGACCGCGGCTTCTCTGTCTTCGCACGCCATACGTCTGCGGACCTGATGCGTTGGTGCTCCGTACGCTGCTTCCGCCGCGGTCGCGACAACTGAATCGGCTGGCTAGCACACACATGTGTCCACCGCACGCAATAAAGGTATTTGCTCGATCATTTCATCACACATGATGACTCTCTTCAGCTCTTCAGCGACAGCGGCGGCGCACCGACCATTCGGCGAACAATATCGGCAGTTTCAAATTGTCAAGTACGCCTTCCCTGCCACATCAACATCCTCTCGAGTTTAATTCCCCCGCATTTTCGGCCACCGAGGCTGGAGGCTAACGCTGGCTCTGTGGGCTGCAAGGGGCGCACGAGGCACGGCGAGCGTACAGGCACGTAGCAACGGAGGGTGACACGTCGGAACTAGGCTGGAGATAAAGGGATTGGCGTTTCACCTGTAAGAGAAGGGGCCATGTCGGAAGGCGGTGCTGCTGCGGCTGCGGAGGAAGGCCCACCATCCGTGCCTGCTACCCTCGACGAGCGGTCTCAAGGGCGGCGAGTGATCGTCATCTTGAAACGAGTGAGCAGGTCTATGAGAGCTTTGTGAGATGTATGGTGGAAGATGGTTTACTTTGTCGAGAATGCCTCCTGCTTTATGTTATACATTCAGCAAGAGCGCTGCTGGAGGGATCTCGTGGAGGTGGTGTTGTGGGCCGTATGTACTATGCTGTGCGGCACCTTACCAGCGATGAGGGTGCGCAGTAAGCTCAGCTTATCCGGCGGGGTGTTTGAAATTGTCATGCTAAGTCATTACCGGAGTTTATCGACCTGCATCTTTATCCTCGCGATGACTGAGCTAGGTGAGGTATGGACCATGAGCACGGGAAAGAGTGGTTCATCACAATAGAGTACATTGTAGTCAATCCTTCATGTGGAGGTAGCCGCTGCTGCCAACGGCAGCAAAAGATCTGGCGACGTACATACCAATCCGGTCGCCCCGGTGGTCTAGTGGGTACCCTCGCAGCCTACTAGTCTAGGGCCAGGTCATGGGTTCGATTCCCGGCAAAGTGAGTTATTTTTCTCACCAAATAAATCCTGCTCTAAGTTGGGAGCGACGCGCTGCAAAGCTTGTTGTGAGTATACTTGATCGACTTCATAAGTCGTGAGGGAAGGGATTGCTGTACCCTTCTCGCGATAAAAATATCTCAGGCAGGAACCGCAGGAGGGGGTCCAATCCCCCCCTCCTATGTGACCCCGGTTGGGTCGTCTAGCCAGTAGAAGTGGAGGATGGGGGCCAGGTGGGCAGACGACAGAGTCCAATGATGGGAGAAACCAAATATATATATACCATAACAGGCAACACTTGCGGCATCGTGGCCAACTTGCTGTCAACCCATCCCGAGAGACCGCAAGAGAATCGCAGGCATGCATGAGACGCTGCCGACTGACGGCGTGAAGCTTTCACTGAAAAGAAGCACGCTCTTTTGGCTTCAAATGTCGTGGAACAACAAGCTTCCCTCTCTGGAGTGAAGTTGCACCGCACCAACGGAAATAACACCCTTCTCTGTGTGCGGTAAACATCCCACCCTCCTGGTCGCGGGAGAGCAACTGCCAATGTCGCCGCCGTCCCTCGTCTCCCATTGAAAAAGGCATCGCTGGAGACGGTCAAGACCAAGAAGGGCGACTTTCAGCTGCTCAACTGCGACGATCACCGTCGGCTGGTCACCAAGAAGTCGGGAAAGGATCCCAAAGACCTGAGGCCGGACATCGTGCACCAGGTGAGAGGAATCAAAGCTGCCGCTTCTCTGCCGCTTGTTTGGAAAATCGTCTCCTGTTCGTTGCCCTGTTGTGACCACCTGCGGCTACGCGAAGCTCCGTCATCATGGATCCTCAATATTGACGACATCGGAGCTCCCCTGCGGGAAAATTCTCGGCTTGGCCATGTACATGTAGCAAATGTTTTTTGAGTTTTTCCGTCGTTGATTCGTGCCACCAACTTTTCTGCCGTGCCTTCCAAGATATGGCGTGACGATTGGCCTGGTCTATTCGTTTGCCATTCCACTATCTCTCGGCGTTGCCGCTCCCGCAGGAACTCCTCGCGCTGTTGGATAGCCCCCTCAACAAGGCCGGCAAGCTTCAGGTACGAGACTAAGCTTTTGGAGGGTAGCACGGACAGTTTGACAAGCATGCCAGAGGAATTACGTTTTTCGATAGAGCAAGAAAGCTAGGCGTCCAACACGATCCTGAACATGCTGCTGTTGCCGTAGTCGGTTTTGCGCAGGGGGAATAACCAGCACGATCAGATATCGTATGCCCCTATCATACGAACTTTCGAGCAAGCGGTCCTTATATCTCCCGCTCTCTCTTGGAATGCTTTGAACCAGATCACTTTTTTGTTTCGTTTACCTTCTCGCAATGGTTCCCCAATGCATTGAATCTGACTACTGATGTTGTTGACGGCCTGATTGATTCAAAGGTACAAGGGAGAGAACGCCGAATCGATGTACGTGTGCGAGCATAACGCTTTATCCGTTGTCCTCCACAAAGCGCAAAGATCGTCATGTGACCCTCTCCCCTTATGGAATCGTATCCACCCCCTCCCCCTCCCTCCCCAAGGTTTATATCTTGACGACGCTGAACGTTCTCATCGAGGTCAACCCGCAGATCAGAATTCCCCGAACCTTCAAGCGATTTTCAGGGCTTATGGGTGAGAGAGACAGAGAGCGAAGGACCCCTTTTTTTTTACGTCGCGTGTTTGTCACAGGCTTGGTTACAGCTTTCTAGTGTTCAAGCCGTGATGTCGGCATGGTTGTGTTGCTGATTAACGATCTGGGCATGGTTGTGACTTTAACTGCGGTACTGTAGACGTTGAGTGTTGTTAAGGTGCAGTATGGATTGTTGCTGCTGCGTTTGTTCCGGCACGGTGATGGTAGTGGTTTCCGCTTGGGCATGGTTACCTGTACGTTTGGCTACAGCTTGTCACGACAGTTTCTCTTTTGTCGCCTAAATGTAGATGTAAACAGCGCACTTCCCTGCCAATCAGCGCTGCCTCTAGAACGAACGCGTCCGAAGATGGACAAAGCTGGTACTTTGCAACACTCGTTGTACATCAGGGCGTGGAACTCCATTTTCTGTTTTGGGAGGCTCGGATTAGCCTCATATGTCGTCACTCCCCGACCATACCGCGTCAGAACCATCCCGGCACCCCCATCCTGTTCGTGCGACCCACTACGCCGCATTTTGTTCCTTCGTAGCCCCAAGTCGGCCCCCCGCTGCTGTGTTGATGGTCTCGGACGACTAAGCCTACGCCTTAGCTGAGCAGTAGATTCGCGTGTTCCGCCGCCCTGCTGCCGGTGCTTCGGCGAATAAATGCAACAGTGCAACTCCTTCACAAGCTGAAGATCCGGGCGGCTGGCAACAGCACGATGCTCCTCAAGGTGGTCAAGAACCCGCCGACCCGGCATCTCCCTCCAGGCAGCAAGACGTTCGGTAAGTGGGCCAGCAATTCCCCCCTCCCCCCCCGCCGAGGTCAATGGTCTAACGTCTGCGGCATGCACCACTCTGAGTACCGTAAGGATGCGGGTCTCCGCACAGGGGTGTTAGCGTTTTTCAAAGCTTCACCAGTCGACAACTAGGAAGGCAACACTGCCGAAAAGGGCGGTTTTGGAGTTATCTCATCGAGGTCTTTCCTTAGACGTGCTTTTTGGCCTTCGCACCCTCCTAGTTGCGGAGTAAGAGAGCTTTGAAAAACGCGAACACCCCTGTGCG